ACAGAAGCTTGCACGTGTCATCGTCATCCGCCATCTTCCACCCGCGAAGGGCCTTACGAGCAGAGTCCCACTGATCCGCGCTCGGCTCGAGCGCTGCCTTCTGCTCTCTGATCTGCTGGGTGGACAGATTATCCAATCTGCTTCGGCTCATGGCGGCGACCTCCAGACACGGTACCGCCGCAACACAGGTGAGTGATCCACACAAATCGCAAGAAGCTCTTGAGCCAAAATGTTATCGCGGACATATTGGGTTCATTTGTTTTTGCGTTGCTCATTTTCTTCGCTACTTGACTTGACCGCATTGCGTTGTTTCCGTTTCGTTTTGTCGTTGTTGTTTCCTCTGCTTGGTGAGTTGTTGATTTTTCTTGTTTGTTTCTCTTCGTTTCCTTCTCCGCGATCGTTTTATTGTTTCATTTTTGTTGTTTGGCTTCTATTTTTTAACTTCCCGAGATGGATGTGGAACCCGAAGGAGTGGCCCCCAAAAAAACCCAAAGGAGGCGCCTTGCGGGGCAGGGGCCCGATATCCGGAAATCCTGGGAGCCACCGAGGAGCCCGAAAAGGAGGTCCAAAAGGTGAGCACTCCTACTCACTCGAAGCTTGTCTCCACGCTGAACCCGAAGGGCCGGCCCGAAAGAGCCCCAAAGGAGGCGCCTTGCAGGGCAGGGGTCCCAAACCCGGAGGTCCTGGGAGCCAAAAAGGAGCCCGAAAAGAAGATCCAAAAGGGGCCCTCCTACTCACCCGAAGCATGTCTCCGAAGACTCGTCGTCGTTTCTGGATGGGCTCGCGCGGTCACGCGAAGCGTTCAGAATATAACCCTCTCGTTGCTCTTCAGGACGGAGGGGGTCCACGACTACGACGAAGAGTCCTTTCTGATGCTCCTGTTGTTCACTGCACTCCCAAGCGACCCACACGTGTGGGGACAGTGAGGACAGTGCCGAGAGCGTGCAGGTGAATCACGAACACGCCTCGAAAAGGAAAGGGACGAGAGAGAGACCCTCATCCAACAAGGGGCGCTCTCCGCGCCGTGCGCGGGGCCGGGGAGCAACGGTGCGAGGGTCACTAACGGCGCACCGCCGGGCAGTCCCCACTCGCACCGCGCCCCCCGTTGGGTAGACAAACCCACGCCTGTACTACCGCCCACTATGCAGGTGCCTCGGGCTCGGGCGCCTGCTGCGACGCAGGCTCCCCGAGCTCCGAGAAGACGAGCGGCTCGAGGGGCTCGCCCGTCTTGGGATGCAGGCCCCTTCGAGCCTGCTCGAGCATCGACGCGATGGCTCCGTCCCCCCCACTCCCAGCTCCCGCCGACCCCGGGGCAGCGCTCCTTCCGAAGAGGAGGAGAGAAGGGGGGAAGGAAGGGGAAGGGGCAGAAAGGTATACAAAGTGACTGCAACTTGCCTGCCAAACATACCGGGTACGTCAGCCCGGATACGAAGAGGAAGACGAACCCCTCTTCCGAGGGTGGCTGCACAGCAACATTTCCCGCGATCGGTTATCCACCCCAGCGGCGGCGGCGGCGGCGGCGGCGGCGACGACGACGACGACGACGGCGGCGGCGACGACGACGACGACGACGACGACGGCGAGGCGACGACGGCGACGGCGACGGCGACGACGACGACGACGACGACGACGACGGCGGCGGCGACGGCGACGACGACAACGGCGCTGACGACGAACCCCTCTTCCGAGGGCGGCTGCACAGCAACATTTCCCGCGATCAGCTCTCCACCCCAGCGGAAGCGGCGGCGGCGGCGACGACGACGACGACGACGAAGACGGCGACGACGGCGACGACGACGACGACGACGACGACGGCGGCGGCGGCGGCGGCGGCGACGACGACGACCGCGCCGGCGGCGGCGACGGCGGCGACGACGACGACGACGACGACGACGACGACGACGACGACGACGGCGACGACGACGACGACGACGACGACGACGAGGACGACGACGACGAACCCCTCTTCCGAGGGCGGCTGCACAGCAACATTTCCCGCGATCGGTTCTCCACCCCAGTGGAAGCGGCGGCGGCGGCGACGGCGACGACCAGACGACGGCGAGACGACGAACCCCTCTTCCGAGGGCGGCTGCACAGCAACATTTCCCGATCGGTTCTCCACCCCAGCGGGAGCGGCGGCGGCGGCGGGGACGACGACGACGACGACGACGACGACGACGGCGGCGGCGGCGGCGGCGACGACGACGACCGCGCCGGCGGCGGCGACGGCGGCGACGACGACGACGACGACGACGACGACGACGACGACGACGACGAGGACGACGACGACGGCGGCGACGACGACGACGACGACGACGACGACGACGACGACGAACCCCTCTTCCGAGGGCGGCTGCACAGCAGGAGAAGGAGGATGAGGAGGAGGAGGAGGAGGGGCAACAGCAGGAGCAGGGGCAGGAGCAGGAGGGCGAGGAGAAGGAAGAACAGGGGGGGCCCGCCCCCTTCATACGCCCACTTCCCACCCCAGTCGGTGCCGCTCATTTTTCATGCGGGCGCCCCACCACTTACAGGACAGACGGAGCAAATAACCGAATCTTTGCATCCGCAGCTGCGTTGCCCGCGCCGCCTCCAGCCACCTGGAGGTCGACGATCTCTCGCCGGAGCCGGTCCTCCGCGGCCTCCCACCAGGCTAACCTGCATGCCTTGCGCCGGTGCCACCCATGCGTCTTGGCCCGCCACAGCATCCAAAACTGAAGAACCATGTAGGCCCGCTTGGGGGCCTCGGCGGACTCGCCGAAGTGATGAGGTCGGCACCGGAAGCTATAATTCAAATCAATGAGTTCGTGGTCCTTCCGCCACCGAGGAAGAATGGTTATGACGACGTCTGGCCATTTCGGGTGGTTCGTGGTGGTGAAATACCCGTTGCTATCCGCCACCGTGCCCTCGGCACGAAGTGGAGTGCTCCAAAGCCCATGCGGCCTCGAGACATCGAATGCACCCCTCACGAGGATCGCAGCCTTCGACCCGCGCCTAGAAGCCCCCGAGATGCCGCAAGAGACACCAGGGGCCCTCAAGACGACCCCAAGGATCCCCACAAGGGCCCCAAAGAGGCCTCGAAACTGCCTCCCTGGGGCCCCAAATAATCCATGAGGTCTCTGACCCACTCCGGGCACGGCGGCGGGATAGGCCGAAGGCGACTAGATACTCTGGCACCGTCCAGGTGCCAGGAGGCATCCTCGCATCCGCCTCCTCATCGTCAGACACGTGCGGCGCCTCAGGCAGCACGGGATCTGCCTCGGGCCCAGCAGCGGCCTCCTCCTCCTCGGCCACGGCTTCCACGTCAGACTCAAAGTCCGAAACCGCAGATCCCCACTCAGAGGGTGTTGCGCATCCCTCGGCCTCCGCATCGTCCGTGAACGCGTCCGCGGCCCCGTCGTCCTCGTCCGCGCACCCCACCTTCGAGTCGCCCTTGGGTCGCCGCGCGCGCTCCTGCGGAACGGGCGCGGGGACTTCGACAGGACCGCCGAGCGCGAGCTCGGCAAAGGGCCAGGCAATCGAAACGTCTACGGCATCCATGCGAAACACTTCCGAGTCTCCAGGCAGGGCCAACTCAGACATCACGTCTTTCAGGGGCCGCAGCTGCCCATAGAGCAGGACGCCCACGTTTAATCGGTAGGTTGCCTCGGAATCATCCTTCTCCTCCAAGATACACCCCCAAGGCTGATACCGCAGCGTGGCTGCATACAAGACAAGTTTCTCGTCGAGCCTCGGCCCGTACTTCACGGCAAACACGCCCGCGTCTGCGGTCATGATCTTGCGCAGCCACATCGGCAGCGGACCGGATGTCGGCTTCGGGTAGATCCGCGGACAGTGGGGCAACGCCTCGGTGGCTATCAAGCGGTGGGAGAGCGAGCGCCGGCTGGCGCTGGCTGTCTTGATCAGGGCGTCGACGTGAGCCGTATTTTTCTCCACGAACTGAATCCACTCAGCCGTGGAATACGGCATACTTGGCTCCAGGACCAAGTCGGCCTCGGCATGGTCGGCATCACGTCTCCTTTCGAGCTCCGCGAGGTTCGCGGCAATATACTCATGCAAAGCACCGTGGTCCCCCTCGTGGACGATTTCCCGCCTCTGCGCCGCGGCAACGCCCGTCTCCTGTCTAAGTTGGCCCCGGGGTCTGCGGAGCCAGGCTGCGTTGTCCTGTACAGCAAGAGCCCAAACGTTGCTGAACCGTTTCCGCTTGGCCCGCGCAGCGCTCTCCCGCATCTGCCGCAAAGCCGCCGTCCGCCGACGTCCGTAATGGCGAAGCAGCACGTTCCGAGACGCCGTTGAAACGGAGGACAGCTTCCGCGCCTCACCCTTTTTAGCAACATTATGTTTGCGTTCTGCATCCAAGTCATGGGCCGATGAGTTTTTGAAAATATCCTGGAGCTCGCGCTGCACGCTGTCGGAAGTGAGGTGCTCGATAGCGCGCTGCCTATCCCCAGTCGCAGTGGCTTCCTGTCGCAGCGGCAAAGAATATCCGCAATCGAGCAGAGACTCGTCGACGTCGAGGAAGTCTTTGACAGCGTCCTGGTAGCCAACCGAATTGTAAGACTTGCACATCAGGCACAACTTGTTTGGAAATTGTCGGTATTGCTCGTAACGCATGATTACATGCGACTGCGTCTTCAGTAATCCCAAGAATGTCGCAGATACGTCTAGCAAGGGATCCGCGTGTAGCAACCGAACAATATCCTGTAACAGAAGCGACGTGCGCCGCTGCACCTCCCCGAATGCCAGCTTAACGAGCACGGGGACCGCGTCAGAAGTTGTTTTCCGAGCCGAAAGATTCACGGCAAACTGCGTGAGCCGCAGGCACAGCGCAGCTTTCCGCAGATATGTATCACTAAGTGGGTCGCTCCACCATTTCTGAAACGCCTTCAACCGATTACTACTCTCAGAAGTGCAGGATAAGTCGAACATACTTGCAGGCAAACGCAACACCGACATCCTCACGAAACAAAACACACAAGAGGTGAAAAGCCAGAACCGTGTTATCACCGGCCGTTCCTCCACTTGGAGCACGTGTCTATAAAGAACTTGATACACGCGGGCACGAACAGATGACAACTCCTCGTTGTCTGGGCAGGGGCAGGTCCACCCGGACAAATTAGAAGGGAAAATATCAACCAAACTGTCGGGGAACACATCCTTTCCGTAAAGCCGTTGCATGTTCAAGACGGCCTCGCTTGGCGGCGGCGCCGCGGCCTTCTCGTCATACCGATCGAACTGCAGAGTTGATGCGATGTGGTGCCGCAAGGCAGTCGCGAATTGGTCACAGTGTTCTGCAAGGAGATACTTAAAAAATCTCGAGCAGTTGGCCGCCAAGTCGTTTTCCTCAAGTGGGCGGGATAAAAGCTTCCCACACAAAGCCACCTCGACCACCAGATTGGCCTGGTGGCTCGCACAGCGCCACGTTATCAAACGATATTGAAGAATGCCGCCTGCACGGCGGCCGTAATGTTCAAAAAGACGTTTGGCCGCCGCCTCGTTGGTGTTGATTCCGTCTCCGATGAGGAGATGCACAACTCTGACGGCACGCTGGGGTAGAGCAGCCAGGATTTTCATAATACCTTGAACAGCATCAATCAAAGCCAAACCTAGAGTGTCACCGTCTTTCCGGCCCAAGGCCTGCATCTCAGACAGCCATTCCAACCGCTGTTCACCCATGCCGATTGTGATACAACTGTTCTGTATCTTAGAATATCTGGACCGCGTGAACAATGCGCTCCCCACGGCGGCCGACCGTGGCAGAGCGAAGCTCGCGTCTTCAACAACTGGCGTGCTCCTCAGCCGCATGCTTGCTTCATCGTGGATATGCTGAATAAAGAACGGTGTTCCGCCGACGTTCGTTGCCGACAAACGCTCGAGCTCCTGCCCATTCAGCTCTTTCAACAACTCCGCAAAAGCATCACGGGCACGTGCAACGTAGCAATGGCTCACCCCTGAGACCGCGCCAGCGCCAGGCTCTTCAGGGAACTGCGACAGAAAGTCCGCCATTGTGCGCTGAGGCACGCCGGGGGGGCTTAAGCCTGCTCGCACCAGCCATATTGCACGCATGCGCCCCCCCACTTTTGTTGTTTTTTCAGCATCGAGCCTATCTTGAAGCTTCGTGCGCGCCTTTTTCTGATACTTGAGCGTGTTCTGTAACCGCGCTAACTCCGCTTGCACATCCGACGCGGACTGCGAGGTGGCAGATGAGCGAGATCGTTGTTGCAAACTCGGCGCATCGAACTGTTGATCGATAACTTGCCACAGCTCGGCGATGCGATGCAGGAGAACATCCCCGTCGATTTGGTGCGATCTCACAGCTTCGGCTTCAGACGTCAATCTTTGCGCTAAAACATCCAAGCTGTGCAAAACAGTATTCGCATCTTTGCACAAAGATTCCATGGTGTCGGCAGTCGCACGCCCCCCCAAAATGCGGGCGTGCCCAAACAGTGACCAAAGCGCAAGAAGCCGTTGAGCCAAAATGTTGTCGCGGACATATTGTGTTCATTTGCCTTTGGCGTTGTTCATTTTCTTCGTTTGGGTATCGTTTTTGAACTCGTTGTGTGTTTCCTGTTTCTTGTTGCACTGTTTACTACTGCTTGTTTCTCTTCGTTTCCTTCTCAGCGATCGGTTTTATTGCTTCATTGTTTTTTGCGTTGTTTACGTTGCCCGAAATGGATGTGGAACCCGAGGGAGCGGCCCCAAAAGATCCCCAAAGGAGGCGCCTTGCAGGGCAGGGGTCCCAAACCCGGAACTCCCGGGAGCCGCCGAGGGGCCCGAAAAAGAAGTCCAAAAGGAAAGCACTCCTACTCACCCGAAGCTCGCCTCTGGAACCCGAAGGGCTGGCCCAAAAGAGCCCCAAAGGAGGCGCCTTGCAGGGCAGGGGCCCCAAACCCGGAGGTCCTGGGAGCCACAAAGGAGCCCGAAAAGAAGGTCCAAAAGGGGCCCTCCTACTCACCCGAAGCTTGTCTCCGAAGACTCGTCGTCGTTTCTGGATGCGCTCGTGCGGTTACGCGAAGCGTTCAGAATGCAACCTTCCTGTGCCTCCTCAGGACGGAGGGGGTCCACGACTACGACGAAGAGGAAGACGAGGACGACGACGACGACGGCGACGACAACCCCCCGTCCGAAGGCGGCTGCACAACAACTTTTCCCGCGATCGGTTCTCCACCCCAGCGGCGGCGGCGGCGGCAGCGGCGGCGGCGACGGCGACGACGACGGCGGCGGCGACGACGACGACGACGGCGAGGCGACGATGGCGACAACGACGACGACGGCGACGACGACGACGACGACGACGACGACGACGACGACGACGACGCAGCGCTGACGGCGACGACGACGACGGCGCTGACGGCGAACCCTCGGTCGCTGACAGGACGAAATCCCTCGGCCCCTCGGGGATATGTCCCACGGCGACGATGCCGCGCCCGCCGCCTCCGCCGATGACAACGACGATAGCAGCGATCATGATGACGACGACGACGGCGGCGAGGAGGAGGAGGAGGAGGAGGAGGAGTTCCGGCGCTACACGGCGCTAGACGGCCTTATATGCTGAATAAGAAACACCCACATGGGTAAAAGAGGCTCCCAGGAGGAGGCACGTAAAATCTGCTGCAACTAACCAAGGAAGCTGGAGAGCAGGTAAGAGAGACGCATGCTTCCGGAATGCCGGGGCATTCGGATCTCTCATACCTATGGCTGAGTGGCCGTAAAAGGTGACAGCAACAAATGAGTATCCTTTTAGATCTAGCAAGACTGGTACTAATCCGTCGGAAGAGCTGCCCCGCTCAGAGCGGAGTCCCGGAACAACCCGCGCCTCGTCCAATATGCAAGCTGGCTTATGTCTGGTCGCCAGACAAAACTCGCCGCCCCCGCTGGCACATGCACTGCCTGTAGAACTGATCCACTTGCTCTTCGACCGTGCAGCGCAGGCGTAGAGCATGAGAGTGCCGTCGCGAGCGTCCCACCGCCACTTGCTGATCGACTGCTGGTTGATGTGCGTCTCACACAAGCTGATGTACGAGTACCCTTCCTTCACGAGTGTGCCGACATGCCCCCCAGCTTTGCCGCCCATACACGTGATGTTCGAGAAAAAGAGCAACGGAATGTTTCGTCGCTGCTCACCGTAGTTGTAGTACAACCCGTGACAGCAGCGCCCACAGAGGTAGAAGGTGAAGCTGGCGAACTAGCCGAAGATGTGGCAGCCCCCGAGCTGCCCGCACTGGTACCAGCAAACGCACTGGTGGTCCCCGAACTCGCAGCACCCGTAGTCTGCGTAGTAGTCGCCGTAGAAGTCTGGAGCATAGGCCGCCGGCAGCAGGAGGCGCACCTACGCCCTTGCCACCCTCGGTGCCATTGCCCTTCTTGATAGCGGCGGCGGCCCGAAAACCTCGCCTGGGAGATCTTCGCCGCCTCCCTCTTGATGGCCTCCTCGTGCGCGGGATCGACGGTGTCGGGGCTAGCAGGGCTGGAAGCACCTGCGCCGCCCGCCCTTCCCGCTGCCTCAGCAGCGGTCGCGCCCAGGCCATCCTGAGCGCCGCCGTCGTTCCCCTTGTGCTTCTTGGCCATCCTCTCGGTGACCTCTTTATCCGCCTGCTTCACCTTGTCAACGAACGATTGCCAAGTGGAGCTCTTCTCCTCCATGGCTGCCTTGTACTGCTCTAGCTCGGCCGTCAAGGACCGAAACTGCTGCTTGCCCGTCTCCTCGCAGTCCCACGCAGGCGCTGAACACGTCCATATTCATCGCGATGCCGAACATCGGCTTGGGCTCCTGCTGGTTCGAAGTGGCAGCAGCACCAAGTCCCTCGGCCTGCACCAAAGCCTTCGTGGCCGCCATCTTCGCCGCCGCTGCGCGGGCAAGCCCGACGGCTGCCTCACTCTCCTTGCTCTCTGCGGTGCTGAGCTGCTGCCGCAACTTCATCACCTGGTCCACCAACTGTTGGTGGCAGTTCCTGGCGGCCTTCCAGGCACCGTCTGCACGTTTGACGGCGTCGAAAGTGTCGCTGTTCTTGGCGCTCGTGTTCTGAATAGCCAACCGCCGTGACTGCTGCTGCAACACCTGCTGCAGCTCAGTGTCCTGGGTGGCCTTCAGCGACTGCTCGAGCGGCGCCGAGATGTCCTGGTTCTTCTTGGGGCCGCCCTTCTTCCCACTGCGCGGGGCCGTGGTTCCCGACGCCGCCGCATGCTCCAAATGCACACCTCGTTCGGCAGACTTGGAGCGACTGCGCGGCTTGTATGGCCGCGCCTGCTTGGAACAACTGCTGCAACGACTGTCTGCAAGGAGGAGCTTGTCATTGTACTCGCACGCTTGGCAACACTGACACTTACTCCATGGGCAACGGGCGGCTGGCATCGCAAAGGTTCTCCCTGCTATCGTTGATGCAGGCAGGTGATGGGGCACACCTGCCTGGGTAGTCGAAGCCAATCTGGCGCCAATCTGGCAGGCCCTATCTGGCAAACGGGGGCAATCTGGCGAGGGAGCCAACGCGAATCCAGTCTGGCGAATAACCCAAATCATCCAGTTTGGCCGGGCCAGATTGGCCCTTGGGGCCCAATCCAATCTGACAGTCTGGCCTTCGACTACTCAGCCTGCTGCAACATCCCTCAAACACTACGTGGAAATACAGGGAAGGCTGCAAGTGTTTGCCCAGGCACGGGGGCGTGGGACTTGGTGCTCCAGCCCGAATGGCTTGAGAGGAGGAGGAGCAGGAGGAGGAGGAGGAGGAGGCGGAGGAGGAGGAGGAGGAGGAGGCGGAGGAGGAGGAGGAAGAGGAGGAGGAGCAGGAGGAGGAGGAGGAGGAGGCGGAGGAGGAGGGGGAGGGGGAGGGGAGAGGGGGGGAGGGGGAGGGAGATGGGGGGGGGATTGGGAGGTGAGGAGGAGGAAGAGTCCAGCCGCGAGCAGAAGCCCGCACTGCGGGCGGCATGGCCAGCAGCCTGCTCGGTCCCAGCAGAGGACGGGCCAGGCAGAGACCTCCCTGAAGGCTGGGGGCCTCTGACTGGCACGAACTTGCCGTCGCTCAGAGGTCCGCATTTTCGGGCTTCACGCGGCTGCTGTTTTGCGAGATGTTCCAAGACGCTCCTCGAGGGGCCTCGCCGAGGAAAAAAACGCACACGTCCGAGCTATGCAGAGCTAAAAAAACGCTCCCCGCCCTCCAAGAGGCCCCCCCGCCACCTTCTGCGAGCTGCCGGGACTCCTGCCCCACGGTCGTCCCGTCCCTTTCCCCCCTCGCGTGCGCAGAATCAGCGACGTGTTTTACAGGGGATCTGTCGACCCACATCCCAGGCTTTGGGAGGTCAACCCTGGGATTCACGATCGGGGGGCCTGCCTCCTCGATAGGGGTGCGTCCGAATAGCCCCCTTGGGATGGATCCCAGAGTTTCCCCCTTTTTCTGAGCGCCCTCATCTTTCATGCGGCGTAGGCGCGCGCAAAGGCTTGTAACACCGCAACCATCGTTCAACCTTGAATCGATCGCGGACCCGATCCTTCAAGGTTGAATTCAGACGGGTCCAACGGCGTATCCATGCGCATCGGTGCTTCCGCGTCGCAGGATTCTGCCTGGGGCGCCTTCGCCGGCGTCGCCAGCGCGCCAACGCCGCATGAACCTACCGTATAGAGAAAGAAACAACGCTATACACATACACTTTTTGCGCTCTGCCTGGATTTCTTGGATCCGCGCTGGACCCACCTCCATTGCGCGCGGAGCGCGCCAGGGAGCGGCGCCAAAGGCGCTGCCGGGGGGGGCCCAGCGCGAATCCAAGAAATCCGCACGGAGCGCCAAAAGTTTGTGTTTATGCAGTTTACTCGTCTGCGACCGCAGCGACATGCTGAGACCAGCACATCACAAGACTGCGAGGGGACGTCAACAGTTAGGTCGGGCATCCTCCTATAGGGGGATCTTAGACAAACAAAGCATACCCCAAAAAATGCGCAACAATTGTCGAAAAGTCGTCCCCTGGGTATTTCTGGGCTATTTTTGAATACCCCTCCTGTAGAGGGACAGGCCCGACTGAAGTCAGCAGGCCACCTCGCTGCTCCTGGCCGGCCCCGCGCTGCGGGCCAGGCCGGGCTCGGCGAGGCTGCTGCCCGACGCCCCCCGAGAGAAGAACCTTCTGGGAGGCCTTCGTAAGCTGAGCAGGGACGGACCGCCCCGGCATTTGCTACGGTCCTGCCACGACAAGTTCCCAGAGCCCGAAAAAGGTTCCAAAACCAGAAACAGTGTTTTTAGAGCAGAGGCCCGACGTGTTAAAACACGACAGCTTCAGCCATACATGTTCTAAGAGCAAGTCGGACAGAACACAACAATTTCTTAGAACATTCTTGCGAGGGCCGGAAGGCGAGCCCGGACGCTGCGCCACTGCTTGTGTAAGCGAAAACCTACCCAGGCCCCGTCCAGATACCATCCCCGAGCCCGCGATCCAGGGGGTCGGGACTGAAGGTGGGGGTTGGGACTGAAGGTGGGGGTCGGACTGAAGAATTGAAAAAACGCCACCACCCCCAACCCCGAGCCCGTGAATCGCCAGCTCTGGATTGGAGTCGGGGCTGGGGTTGGGTTTTCGCCTGCTGACCCGATGCAACCAGATTGAGCAGGATTAACTTGGAATCGCAAGCTTTTGCTGGACGAGTCCTGTCTGTGACCACGGATCTGCCAGCGTCGATGCTGAACTTAACCTCTCAAGAGCTGCATCCTAACGAAGAGCAGGAAAACGCCGCTGTCCTTGGAGAGTGAGCTCATCCTGTCCCTCATGTTGGCGTACGTGACACCGGCAGCCTTTAGACAGTTGGGACACGCTCTTTTTGCGTGTGCTCTGGGGTGGCAACAAAAGCTGCACAAGCATTAACTTTCGGATGTCCGCGCAGATTTTTTTGCATCGGCGCTGGACCCCAGAGCGCGCCAGGGTTGGCGCCAGAGGCGCCGCCATGGAACCCGTGGGAAATCCGCGCTGACCTCCGAACAACCATCGGAAGTGAGGAGGTGAGATCGCAGTCAAACGGAGAGCCCCCCATTGGCAAATCGATTTCGGCTTTGTAGTAAGATCGATCGTGAGATCGATGGTGAGAGCGATAGCGAGATCGATTGAGTCAGACGCTGGTTCCTCTCCTTATCAATCAAAGGTTGGTCGTATAGACATTTCTGCACCCGTAGGGGAGCGTCTCTATAATCGGCGTTTCGACATTGGGCGGAAAGGGGGGGAGAGGGGGGGGGTCTGGCTCCCGACCTCTGCTCAGTGCGACTGTTTGCGGCACTGCGTCCTATGTGGGAGGGACTCTACCTGCTCGAATATAGATACACACACATATATATATATATATATACACATATATTCATATATATATACACATATATATATATATCTAAGATGGAACAAACAACTCACAATACAGCTCGTCGCTTGGGCCCCACCGCCAGCCCAAAAGACGAGCATAAATCGGGCGTAGCCCCGCACGCATTCGAATGCCCTCACTTCGTCCTCGTACTACTCGTATTCCTCCCTGTCCTCCTCCCCATCCTGATCGACCTCCTCCTCATCCTCCTCGTCCCCCTCCTCATCCTCCTCGTCTTCCTCCTGCTCCAACTCCGCCTCGTCGTCCTCATCTATGACCTCGTCCGCGTTTCTCTTCTTCCTCGTCCTGTTCATCCACCTTCTCCTGGCACCTCGGCGGCGGAGAATAAACCCGTCTCCTATCGGTTGCGCCATGGGTGAAGCCCTCGACGGCCGAGAATAAAACCGTCTCCTATCTGCTGCGCCATAGGCTGCGCCCTCGGCGGCTGAGCATTACGCTACCGAGGAACCCCACATACCTATTTTATTTCCCATGTTTACCATCGGTGCTTCTGCTGCGGCTCCTCCTTCTCCTCGGTGTCCTCCTCCTGCTGCTGCTTCTGCTGCTGCTGCTTCTGCTGCTGCTGCTGCGTCTGCTGTTGCAGCTGCTGCGGCTGCTGCTGCTGCCGCTGCTGCTGCCCCACCTCCCCGTCCTCTTCCTCCTCCTCCTCCTCCTCCACCTCCACCTCCTCCTCTTTCTCCTCTACCTCCTCCTCCTCCTACCTCCCAGCGCACCCCCTGTGGCGTCGAGGGAATGCCACGCCTGCCACGCCCTGGGAGCCTACAACGCATAGGGCCCCCACCCCCAGCGCACCCCCTGTGGCGTCGAGGAAATGCCACGCCTGCCACGCCCTGGGAGCCTATGACGCATGGGGCCCCCACCCCCAGCGCACCCCCTGTGGCGTCGAGGACCAGCGCACCCCCTGTGGCGTCGAGGAAATGCCACGCCTGCCACGCCCTGGGAGCATACAACGCATAGGGCCCCCACCCCCAGCGCACCCCCTGTGACGTCGAGGAAATGCCACGCCTGCCACGCCCTGGGAGCCTACAGCGCACAGGGACCCCACCCCCAGCGCACCCCCTGTGGCGTCGAGGAAATGCCACGCCTGCCACGCCCTGGGAGCCCAACGCATAGGGACCCCACCCCCAGCGCACCCCCTGTGGCGTCGAGGAAATGCCACGCCTGCCACGCCCTGGGAGCCTACAACGCCTAGGGCCTCCAAGCGCACCCCCACGTCGAGGGGCCACCCCCCCCCCACGCGCACCCCCTGTGGCGTCGAGGAAATGCCACGCCTGCCACGCCCAGGGAGCCTACAACGCATAGGGCCCCCACCCCCAGCGCACCCCCTGTGGCGTCGAGGAAATGCCACGCCTGCCACGCCCTGGGAGCCTATGACGCATAGGGCCCCCACCCCCAGCGCACCCCTGTGGCGTCGAAGGAATGCCCTGTGTGCTATGATGTGCTGTGCTGTGCTGTGCTGTGCTGTGCTGTGCTGTGCTGCTGTGCGGTGAGCTGTGCTGTGCTGTGCTGTGCCGTGCTGTGCTGTGCTGTGCTGTGCTGAGTTGAGCTGGGCTGAGCTGTGCTCAGCTGTGCCGTGCTGAGCTGAGCTGAGCTGTGCTGAGCAGTGCTGTGAGGAGGAGGGGAAGAGTGAGGTGTGAGAGAGAGAGAGACGGAGAGGGAGGTGTGGGTGTGTGAGTGTCGCGGGTGCGGCGCGGCAGGGACGACAACTAGAACCAAACGAAGCATGAGGGGAATAAAACCGTCTCCAATCGGTTGCGCCATAAGCTGCGCCCTCGGAGCCGAGAATAAAACCGACGCTTTATCGGTTGCGCCATAACTTGCGCCCCTGGCGGCCGAGAAAAAAACCGTCTACTATTGGTTGCGCAAACTGGTTTCGCCCTCGGCGGCCGAGAATAAAACCGTCTCCTATCGGTTGCGTCATAGGTTGCGCCCTCGGCGGCCGAGAATAAAACCGTCTCCTATCAGTTGCGCCATGGGTTGCGCCCTCGGCGCCTGAGACTAAAACCGTCTCCTATCGGTTGCGCCATGGGTTGCGCCCTCGGCGCCCGAAAATAACACCGTCTCCTATCGGTTGCGCCAGAGGTTGCGCCCTCGGCGGCTGAGAATAAAACAATCTCCTATCGGTTTGCGCCATAGGTTGCACCCTCGGCGGCCGAGAATAAACCGTCTCCTATGGGGTGCGCCATAGGTTGCACCCCTGGCCGCCGAGAATAAAACCGACCTGGAACGTTTAGAGACAGCGCTCAGGGAGCAGGAGGAGAGGGACGAGGGACGAGGCCTGGTGCGACGCGGCAGAGAAGGAAGCCAACACCCCACGAAGCATGTGGGGAATAAAACCGTCGCTTATCGGTTGAGCCATAAGTTGCGCCCTCGGCGGCCGACCATAAAACCGTCTCCTATCGGTTGCGCCATTGGTTGCGCCTCGGCGGCCGACAATGAAACTGTTCCTTATCGGTTGCGGCATAGGTTGCGCCCTCGGCGGCCGAGAATTTCGCTACCGAGAAACCCCACATACTTATAAACTGTATGCCATGATGATAGCTGGCGTGAAACGTGCGAGAATGGTGCAGGTGGCCGCCAGCACACCCCCTGTGATGTCGAGGAAGCGCCACGCCTGCCACGCGTTGCGAGCCCGGAACGGATAGCGCTCCCACCCACAGCGCACCCCCTCTATAGTGTCAACGAAGTGCCGAACCTGCCGCGCTTCGCGAACCCGAAGCGGGCAGCGCTCCCGCGCCCAGCGCATCCCCTGTGGTGTCGAGGCGCCGAGGAACTGCCGCGCCTGCCACGCTCTGCGACGCCCGGAACGGGTAGCGCTCCAACCCCCAGCGCATCCCCTGTGGTGTCGAGGGGGTGACACTCCTGCCACGCTCTGCGAGCCCGAAACGGGTAGCGCTCCCACCCACAGCGCAACCCCTGTGGTGTCGAGGAAGTGCAATGTTCGCCACGCTTTGCGAGCTCGCCGTGCGTGTGTTGCATGCGTCTGGTGCGTGTGATGCGTCAGGAGGCGGTGTGTATGTGTGTGTGTGTGTGTGCAGATGTAGTGTGTGTATGTCGAGCGTGGGGGAGGAGTGACGAGGAGAGGCAAGGAAGGGTGAGGAGGGGAGGCGGGTGAACGCGGGTGCGACGCGGGTGGTAAGAATAACATAATCACACTAAGCACGTGGGGAACGACAAAACCCTAACCCCAAGAACCCCACGCGGGTGGGGTGACGCTTCCTAACGTCCACCGCCTCGCCTTGCCACCCCTGTCACACTTTCCGAGCCTGGACCGTATAGAGACGGCGCTGAGGGAGCAGGAGGAGAAAGGGGAGGAGGGAGGAGGAGAAGGGGGAGTAAGAAACGCAAATGCGAAGCGGCAAACAAGACAACCAACATCCCACGACACATGTGGGGAATAAAACCGTCTCCTATCGGTTGCGCCATAAATTGCGCCCTCGGCGGTCGAGAATAAAACCGTTTCATATCGGTTGCGCCAGAGGTTGCGCCCTCGGCGGCTGAGAATAAAACCGTCTTCTATCGGTCGCGTCATCGGTTGCACCCTTGGCGGCTGAGAGTAAAACCGTCACGTAACAGGTGCGACCAGTCTGCTCAGCTCAGTTCGTTCAGTTAAGCTCAGTTAAGTTCAGCTCAGCGCAGTCCAGTTCAGTCAGCTTACCTCGCGGGAAACAAATGCGGGGTACGACCCAAACACAACCAACTCAACAATGATAACGCAATCTACATACACATACGTACATACATACACATGCATGCATGCATGTATACATACATGCATCCACACATACATGCATATATACATACCTGCTTACAGGCACACATACATACATACACACATACATACATACATGCACACATACGTTTATACATACATGCACACATGCATGCATCCACACATACATACATACATACGCTCATGAATACATACATATAGGTGTATACACATTATACATCCACTAAACCATACATACATACGTGCATACGCGTCCATGCAATCATACATGCATACATACATACGACCAGGTACGCATGCACACATACGTACATGTTTGCATGCATACACTCATACAGACATACATGCATACATACACACATCCACACATACCGACGCATCTACATACATACATGCATATACATACACACCTACATACATACATGTATACGTACATACATACATACCTACATGCATGCATGCACGCATGCATGCATACTTACACACATACATACATCCGTGCAGACATACATACATGTATAACTGCATGCGTATCTACATGCATACATGCGAGCCTACATACATACATGCATGCATACATACATACATGCATGCATGCGTACATATATGCATATGTGTACATGAATAAAAGACCATACATGCATGCATGCATACATACATGCATACATCCCTGCATACATACATGCATGCATACAGACGTGCATGTGTGCATGTCCACAACCATACATACATACGTACACGCATCCATACACCGACATGCATGCGTGCATGTGTGCACGTATACACACATACGTGCATGCGTACATCAATACATTCATACACACACGTACACACATACATGCATACATACATACATACATACATGCATACAAACATACACACATACACACAACACCTACATATATGCATGCATGCATGCATGAATCCATACATACAGGCATGCGTGCATGCATGCATACATACAAACATGTGTATCCATATATGTGGATAGAAAAGAGTTCCCAACGTGACACGAGGGTTGGTGGAACGCACTACCGCCCACCCTCTTTCCTTTTCCTCCTTCTCTTCCTCCCCTAGCTCGTCCGACTGAGCTCCGCGCGGACACACGTTCAGGGGGAAGAGGAGGAAGAGGAGTAAGAGGAGGAAGGAGGGAGAAGGCGGGAGGATGAGGAGGTAAGAGCAGGAGGAAGAAATAAGGAAGAAGGAATGCTGGGGAGGAGCGGGGAAGGAGGAGGCATGCGCTGCGACCTGTGAAGCGAAAGTCTGCGTTGAAACAACAAATTGGGAGGGAATACGAGACAGGAAGGAGGGAACAGGAGGTGGAAGGAATAATCAGGGGGAACATGAGCAGGGGGAGGAGCAGGACGTCGGAGGAATGAGAAAGGAGGGAGGAGGAGGAGAAGGAGGAGAAGGGGGCCCCAGGCTGACGAGGGGGAGGAGGACGAGGAGAAAGAGGAGGAGGAGGAGGAGGAGGAGGAGGAGGAGGAGGAAGAGAGAGAGAAGGAGGTGAAGGAGGAATGGGGCAGAGAAGGCGTCGAAACAGCGGCGTCTGGCGCCGCTTAGCGTCGGTTCACAAGACAATGATGATGGATAAACATCTGGCCGCGGGAGGCTACATCGTTCCCCACATTCAAAGCGCCTCGGCCGTCTGGCGCCCCTTCCCAAAAAGCCCAGAGGAGCAGGCGGAGGAGGAGGAGGAGGAAGAGGAGGAGGAGGAGGAGCAGGAGGAGGGGGAGGAGGAGGGGGTGGCAGGGGGAGGAGGACGGGGAGGAGGGGGGGGAGGAGGAGGAGGAGGAGGAGAGGAGGAGGAGGAGGAGGAGGAGGAGGAGGAGCAGGCGGAGGAGGAGGAGAAGGCGGAGGAGCAGGAGCAGGAGGAGGAGGAGGAGGGGGAGAAGGGGGTGGAGGGGGAGGAGGAGGAGGAGGAGGAGAGGAGAGGAGGAGGAGGAGGAGGAGGAAAAGTAGGATGAGGAGGAAAAGAGGATGATGAGGAGGAGGAGGAGGAGGAGGAGGAGGAGGAGGAGGAGGAGGAGGAGGAGGAGGAGGAGGAGGAGGAGGAGGAGGAGGAGGGAGCGGAGGAGGACGGGGGAGGTACCCGCCTGGGGAAGGAAGAAACACTGGGAGAGGGAGGCGCTGGAGGACCTCCTTCCCCCAGCTTCCGCAGGCGAACCGGCGCCGTGCCGCGCTAGGCGGCTAAGGCCGGCGGCAGCGGCGGCGCGCGGCGCCTGGTACGCTGGTGACTTCGCGAGGGCCTGCGGGTCGCAGGGATAGGGAGCAAGGTGTTCGTGTGTGCGTGTGCGTGTGTGTGTGTGTTGTGTGTGTTGTGTGTGTGTTGTGTCGTGTGTAGTGTGTAGTGTGTAGTGTGTGGTGTGTGCGTGTTGTGTGCTTTGTGTTGTGTTGTGTGTTGTGTGTTGTGTATTGTGTGTTGTGTGTTGTGTGTTGCGTGTGCGTGTGCGTGTGCGTGTGCGTGTGCGTGTGCTTGTGCGTGTGCGTGTGTGCGTGTGTGTGTTGTGTGTGTGTGTTGTGTGCTGTGTGCGTGTGTGCGTGTGCGTGCGCGTGTGCGTGAACGTGTGCGTGTGTGCTATTCAACAATGTTGTAAGGCACCTGCCCAGAGGTATGCTCAATAACGATTGGATATGGAAAGACTGCTGGGGTCCTCGCGCGGAATCCTGAGACCCACTCTACCTCCGATCAACGTCGCACTCACATCAGATCTACGTCGGATTCACGTCGGAAGAACGTCGGACTTCCAGCCACGCGGAGCTTAGCGGCCCACGCGCAGTCCGAGACACCGGAATTCAACTGGACATGATATCAGCGACTTTAAAATTTTTCAATCTGCTGCCGTGCGCCATCCGCTGGGCCCGGCCGAGAAATCCGAAAGAGCCGCTGCTTCAGCTGTTGTCACTTCCCGTGGGATCTCGCATAACTGCCACAGGTAAGAGAGCACGGGGGCCACGAACGAATTGTAAATGCGAGCGTCTATTTGCAGACCGAGCCCAGGCTCTGACCACAGACGAGTTTTTTTCTAGTACTTCGCCAATGCTTTCGGCCTCGCACCTCGTAGGGCCTACTTTGAAGCCCAAATACGTGGCATGCATTGCAAACTCCGCTCCAGCCCATTCTGACAGCGTGTCCTGCACTGCGCGTCGAAACTGGCGCGCTGAAGTTTCCCACAATGGGATGATGACAGTCCTCGCCATGTTTAGGCGCAGACCAGAGAACTCAGCAAACTCCCTGTACACGCGCAGAACAGTGGATGCATCTCGCCAGAAATTGCGCACGATCACTGCGCCGTCATCGGCATATGCTCTCACCGTGCTTTGTGGTGACTGTTGACAAATGCGGCGCAGCAACATGTCAGTCGCCAGCACAAAAAGGAGGGGAGAGAGAGGGCACCCCTGACTAACACCGCTACTCATGGGAAATCCTTCAAACACTTGCCCTTTCAGCTTAATATTGCACATGTTGTCCTTATAGAGACATCGGACGACGTTGCATATGAAAGGAGGGATGCCTATGGCCTCAAGGGCCGCTAGAATAAAGTCCTGGGATATACTAGGAAACGCAGCCTCAAAGTCAAGCAGTATGAGCACAGCGTTCCTCTCCTCGAGGCTGGCCAACATGCTGGCGTGATCAATATCGCAAGCGTTCCGAATTATAGAGCGCCCAAGGCAAACCTCCCTTTAATGAAATCGACCTGGGACCGAAACCAACGGACCTGGACCCGCGAAAATGACGGCCGCGACGCCGTCTCGCGAACCGAAAACGGCCAATCGCTAATCGACGTGTCAGGGTAGGAGGTCTGTCCCCCCCCAAAAATAAACGCACGTGAAGAAGAGCGCCCACGCTTTCGTTGGTGTATACTGTGCAACATCAAGTCCTCTGAAACAGCCAAACACGTGGACGAGGGCGCTCATGTCTCTTGGGGGACCCCTGCACTGTGGGAGGCCTGATAAACCCAAACCGAACCGGGTTCCCCCGAGAATGGGCCGAAGGGGCTGGGAGACGTATACCCAGCTGTCCCCCTAATGAAGAACCCCCAGGCCTTCCGACAACACGGAGGGACAACACGACATGCTGACAGGATCTCATCGGCAGCGCGTCAACGTTTCCTTTCCCTTCAGAGCTCTCACTAGTGCAGAATTGACAGCTGGGGTCCTCGAAACTCGACCCCCCCGGCGGTGGCTTTGGATAAGCCGCCGCCTCGGAAGTGGGGCCCTCCCGAGTTCTCGGCGCTGCACGATGCCCCCAAGAGGGGCCCAGACGCGGGACAGCCACGATCCTGCAGCTGCTTCGTCTTGTGACGACCCGCGCGCTGGTTTCTGACACCGCCTGGATCCTTCAACCTTGACCGGTCGGCGGCTTCCCCATCGCCAGGTCGTCCCATGCTGGCCGATTCTGGGCCGCTAGAGGCATTCCACGTCGAGCGCCTGCGGTGGGATCGCCCCCGCCTCGGCATGGCACGGGCCTGCCGCAGGGGCGGGGCGCAGAGGAGGCCGCCGCGAGGTCCCCGCAGCCGGGTGCCATCCACGGCCCCGGGGGCCCCAGCGGCCGCATCGATCGCTTGGTGCCCCAGGGGCCCGCGCACGGGCCCCTGGAGGCCTGCCGTGCATCCAAAGAGCCCTGGTTGACCAGCCAAGAGAGGTCAGGGGATCTGTCGACCCCTGTCCCGGGCTTGGGGGGTACTTCCAAGGGGCCAGGAATTGCGGGCCCAGCCCTGGGATATGCGGTGGGGGGGGCGTCCATCCTCGATATGGGGTCCGTCCGAATAGCACCAGCGGGGTGTATGCCAAACTTTCCGGGCAGAACGCGGCGACGGGGGGAGAAAAACCGCCTGCGAATATCATCCATTCTCCTTCCCGAGATCTGGGCGCTGCGAGCGTGTGGACCCGAGGCGCGCCCAGGTCGCAGGAGGAACCGCGAGGTCCAACGCGTGCTGGTGCTTCCTGGGCATCCCGCCTCGCGCCCTGCGACGCAGGACCACCGCATGCCGCGGCCGCCAGGCCCGGAATGCGCCGATGCTGCCTGGGGCTCCCGCCTCGCGGTCTCTCGGGTAGGGATCGCTCGAGCCCTTTTCTTCTGTTGCGAACCAAGAAGTGGGGCCCCCCGACGCGGTACACCCGCCCCCCTCCGATAATTTCGGCCGGCCGATTGGCCTGGGGCGCAGAAGAAGCGGCGCGAGGCCTGCAGCTGGTTCAGGATCATGCGCATGTCGCCCCCGCACGACTCGGCCAGCGCCTCGAGAGCGTTCGGCTCCACGCTGGCGGGGGGGGTACCAGGAAGGTGCTCACAAGACCACAATCACCTGCTTTTCCTCCTCCTCCTCCTCCTCCTGCTGCTGGTGCTCCTCCTCTTCGCCTAACAGGAGGAAGAGGAGGACGACGAGGAGGAGGAGGAGGAGGAGGAGGACGACGAAGGAGGACACCCCAAGGATTCCTCCGCCCCTCCGGCTGCCGCCGCCTTCCCCCGGCGGCTCGCCGCCCGTGGCGAAGGAGGAGGAGGAGGACGAGGAGGAGGAGGAGGAGGAGGACGAGGAAGAGGACGAGGAGGAGGAGGAGGACGAGGACGAGGAGGAGGAGGAGGAGGAGGAGGAGGAGGAGGGGAAGGCCATCTTCCTTGGCCGAGGGACCGCAGGAAGGGCCTCGCCCCCCGTCATAAGGGGAGAGGCCCCGAACTGCAGCAGCGGGCCCCCGCGCGCGCAGGCGCCCTCCACGCCGCGGCCCGCGCGGGCCGCCACGGCGGCGCGCCGCGCGGCGAGCGAGGGCGCGCCGCGGGGGACCCTGCGCGGGGAGCCCTCGCGCCGGTGGCCTCGCAGGCGGCCTCGTCCTCCCTGCGCCGCTGCCTGCCTCCAGCGCGGGCACCCACATGCTTCGGTGGCGGCCCCGTCGCCCGTGCGCGTGCCCCGCTTGCGTCTCCAAAACCAGGTGCAGGACGGAGCGCGAGGCAGAAACAGCGATGCCCTGTGCGTCGCCAGCGTGCAAGACAGGGCCCCGAGGTGCCGCCAAGGTCCCGAACGGGTGTGCCGGAGACGCGCGCCCCATGCTCACCGCAGTTTACGCCCGATCCCCTCGGTCGCTGCTTGGTGGGGGGGGCAATAACTGGGCGACGACAAGAAACGGGCTTTGCGCGAGATGACATAGCGACCTTCCGCCGCGGCTTACACGGGCCGCCAGGGCGGCGCCTGTCGCATTGGAAACGAGGGCGCTCACGCGCAACCTCACGCGGGCAGCATACGCGCCAATGTCGGCGAAGACGACCCCATTGTCTTCCTTCGCTCAAATAGGTGGGGAGGGGGGGTGGGAGAAGCGCGCACCTTTAGTACCCTTTTTGGGCCCCAGGGGGCCTTTGTGAAGCACAAGAAGGTTCATTTGCCCTGCACCTCATTATTCATCCCCGCCCCATTCCGCAACGCCCGAAGCCCTCCTCCCCTGCCGAACTCCCGAACCGCCAGCATTGGGGTGGACAAAGAGAGGCAGCTCTGCTTCAGACTCTGGCATGTCTCACGCAGAAGGCATCCATTTTAGGCGAAAGGCGTCCATACACCACCACCGTGCAAAGCCAGGGCCATTCTGGCCCTGGCATGGTGTATACGCCCTCCTGGCCGAAGCCAGGAGGGTTTATACACCATCATAGGGCCCAGGATGGCCCTGGCCTGGCACGGGTGGTGGTGTATAGATGCTTTCGTCGGATGTGTACTTGCAAAGAGGGGGGAGGGCGGGGGGCGAAGCTCGAAAGAGGAAACCTGTACTACCCGCAAGGGGGCACTGGCATACAAGAAAACTTACAATGGTAAAACAACGCGCGCGCGACTCGCGCGTTTAGGTTCTAGCAGTTTCCGGAGAGTCCATACCCATCGGTCGGGAGAAATAGGTAGAAACATGCACTAATTAGGGAAACGTTAAAAATATATTGGGTTCCGTCCGCCACCCTACGGAGGACGCAAAAAAGGTGAAGTCACTCGATGATTGAAGTAGGAAGTCGCTTCAAGTAGATTGGAATCTGGGACTCCAAACACACCTCCTCTCAACGGCCGATGGAGCCCTCGATGCCAGGGAGGAGGGCCCCAGGCGTGGCTCCCCTCTCCCCCAGCGGGGGTGCGGGTTCTTCCCGGGGGAGGCTCTGGGCTCTGAGCTCTGCGCGCAAGCGCCGCGGGACGGGGTCGGCCGAGGAGGGCCCCCCCTGAGCCTCCCACGTGAGAGTGGAGGCCAGTCCACAAGAAACCTTCCACAAGAAATCCGAACCCTAAGACCCCCAGACATCCATTGATTGCTGGTGTGGGAAAGTTGCGCGTTCCATCGCAAAACCATCGGAACCCAGGAAACCCAGGGCACCCTGGAAGCAAGCAGGGTGTTTCTTGGCATGGGTCTCCACTGTACTCGAAAACGGCCCGGAGGCGGTCACAAGAGAGCTGCCTTGGGCTGTCAGGGGCGTTTGTTGGGCCGTCTCGGCTCTGGCTTGTGCCGTCTTGGGGCCTCTCTGGGTGCCTCCTTGGCCGTCTCGGGGCGAGCGTGGGGAAGCAGCTACAACAAAACAGCAAACATGCGAAAAGAGCACGTTTTCCCTAAATCGAACGGGGCGGATTCAGCCTCTCGTGGCCTTCTTGAAGGGCCTCTTGGGGCTTGGGCTTTCTGGGGAGCTCTGGGCGGTCCTGGAGCTGTCTTGAACAATTTTGGAGCGCTCTTTGTGCGCTCGCGGGTCGTCTAGGGGGCCTCGTGAGCCATCTGGAAAATATCGTGGGTGGTCTTGAAGCGCTCTGGGGGCCGAAAACGGGCCCCGGGCCCCGCGGGCTAAACGGGGTACGCATGAGGGTGGACCCATTTGTCACTGTGTCCTGGGGGCGGCCGGGGGGTCCAGAGGAAGGCAAGGCTGACAAAACGTCCCTCCGCCAATGTCGCCATGGCACTCACTCGGATCGTGCCCCCCCGTAAACGCCATTTTCGGGTTCAAAGACAGACTTCCTCCCCCATCCCAGAACACCCTTCACACGGATCGTTCCCCAGAGGGATGTAGTTTCACGTGCGGTCTTAGCGGGAGGAGTCGCATGACTTCACTTCGCCCTGTGTATATTGACTGTCTCCTCGCACGGATCGCACCCCAAGGGGAGCTCCACCGACAGCCACAGAGGCAAGGTTCGCATCTCGTTCCCCGCCCATGTCGGCACACCCCTGACATGGATCGTGAGGACGGGGCGTCTTGAGTGCCTCTCGGGGTCTGGCGGCGTGTTTCTCAGGGGCCTCTTGAAGCCCAGATGCGTATTGAGTTGGAAGCCTCTTAAAGCCTCTCTGGGAGCGCAGTGCAAGATGTAGACGCGAGACATATCATACGCTTCTGGGGGCCCATTGGGAGGCCTCCTGGGAGCCTCCTGGAAGCATTCAAGGAGCCTCTTGGGGCCTCTTAGGGGTCTCGTGGGGAATCCGGGGGGGCGCCTCTTGGACAGCCTTAGGGGCTGTCAAGACTGGAACATCAAATCCACTGAACATATCTGTTATCCGAAAGAAATGAAACAAGTGTTGTCTCCTGGGGCCCCTAAGGGGGGGGTCCCTGGAGGCCTATCGGGGGCCTCTTGGCGTGTCTTCGAACTCACGGGGGGCGTCACGGGAAGGCCAGAACGCCCCAGATTCCATGTTGGATAGTCTTGGGCCAATCTGGGGGGCGAGTTACACCATACTCGCCTTGCCGAGGACAAGACTGCTCCAAGGTGCCCGAAGATGGTTCCAACACGGCCCAAGAGGGCCCTAAGAGGCCCCAAGAGCGCTACAAGAGGCCCGCCGACAGAGGCCCAGAGCCACAATCGTAGATTACGCAAGGTTTCAAGGATTTCGGCTTGTTGCACTTTCGGCTGTCGGACGCCTCTAAAAGGGCCCCAAGACGGCCAACGAGGGCTCCAAGATGGCCCAAGAAGCGCTCCGAGAAACCCCGAGAAGCCCCTCGGGAGGCCCCACGGAGCCACCAAGAGGCCCCACGAGGCCCCAAGAGGCGCCCAAGACGCGCCCAAGAGGCGTCCAAGAGGCCCAAAAGATACCCCACGAGGCCCCAAAGAGGCGCCCAAACCGCCTCCAAGAGGCCCCCGAGAGGCTCCCCACGACAGTTCAACACATACACAAGATACCTCAGACCCACAACCCAGGCACAGTGGCGGGATGAGCCGAAGACCACTATGATCCGCCGCCCCCTGTCGATTCATCGCAGGGGTGCCTGGCGTGCTGGATCCTTTCGGTTTTGGTGTTGGTTCTTTTTCCAAAAGAACTCCCCCTGGCGCTTCGGCCCGTCCCGCCAGGGTCCCGGGAGGATTGCCCAGGACCCCAACGTGCACAAAAAATCCTCCGGCTCAAGATGGCCTCCGAGATGGCCAAGATGGCCCAAGATGGTCTCCAAGATGGTTCAAGATGGCCTCCAAGTCCGCCCAAGATGGTCCAAGACGGCCTCCAAGAAGGCCCAAGAGAGTCCAAGACGGCCCAAGACGGCCCAAGAGGCCCCACAGAGCCCTCCAAGACGGCCAAAATCATTGATGTTCTTTAGGTGTTTGAAGGGTTTGGGGATGTGCTTCTTCTCGGCATTCCGACGGCTCAAGACGGCCCAAGAGGCCCCCAAGATCGCCCAAGAGGCCCCCAAGAGGGCCCCATGACGGCCCAAGTGGCCTCCAAGACGGCCCCAAGAGGGCCCCAAGACGGCCCAAGAGGCCTCCAACACGCCCAAGATGGCCTCCAAGACGCCCAAGATGGCCTCCAAGACGGCCCCGAAGCGCCCCAAGTCGGCCCAGAAAGGCCCCCAAGACGACTCCCGACGGCGTCAGACGTGCCAGGAACCCACCAAGATGGCCGAAGTTGGCTCAAAGCTGGCCCAAGACGGCCCAAGAGGCCCCCAAGAAGGCCTCCAGGAAGGCCAGAAGAGGCCAAAAACATTGATTGTCCTAAGGTATTTGACGGATTTTGACATTTGCTTCTTGTCGGCCTTCCGACGGCCCGAGACGGCCCAAGAGCCCCGAAGGATCGCCCCAAGATCGCCCAAGAGGCCTCCAAGATGGCCCCAGAACGGCCCAAGAGGGCCCCAAGACGGCCCCAAGAGGCCCGCAAGGCGGCCCAGGAAGCTGTTATGACGCCCAAGATGGCCTCCAAGACAGCCCTGGAGCATTCCAAGAGGGCCCCAAGTCGGCCCATAGAGGCCCCCCCAACGGCTTCCGACGGCGTCAGACGGACCCGGAGCCCACCAAGACGGCTGAACATGGCCCTAAGATGGCCCAAGGCGGCCCAAGAGGCCTCCAAGAGGAAAAGGCCAAAATCATTGGTTTCCCATGGGTTTTTGAAAGATTGTAGCACTTGCTTTTTGTTCGGCCTTCCGACGGCCCGAGACGGCCCAAGTGCCCACAAAGATCGCCCAAGAGGCCCCCAAGACGGCCCCAAGAGGCCCCCAAGACGGCCCAAGAGGTCTCCAAGACGCTCAAGATAGCCTCCAAGACGGCCCAAGAGCCCTCCAAGACGTCCTCCAAGAAGGCCCGAAAGCGTCAGAATGGCCTCCAGACGGCCAAGATGACCTTCAAGACGCCCACGTGTTCCCGGCCACGACCTTCGGCCACATAGGCGCTTCCAAAAAGGCAGGGGGCGGCGGTGATTCGCCGTAGGCGTCTTCGATCCGCCGCCCCCTGTCGATTCATCGCAGGGGTGCCTGGCGTGCTGGATCCTTTCGGTTTTGGTTTTGGTTCTTTTTCGAAAAGAACTCCCCCTGGGCCTTCGGCGCGTCCCGCTGGGGTCCCGGGAGGCTCTTCCGGAGGTGGTTGCCTTGGGTTTTCCTGCCCTTGACTGCTCCAAGATGGCCCAAGATGGCCTCCAAGATGCTCCCAAGACGACCCAGATGGCCTCCAAGACGGCTAAGATGGCCCCCCAAGATGCCTCCAAGACGGCCCAAGATGCACCCAAGACGGCCTAAGATGGCCTCAAGCTAGCCCAAGACGGCCCAAGAGGCCCCGAAGAGGCCTCCAAGACGGCCCAAGAGGCCTCCAAGATGTCCTCCAAGAAGGCCCGAAGAAGCCAAAATTATTGATTGTCCTTATGTTTTCGAAGGATTTTGGTATTTGCGCCTTTTCGGCTTTCCGACGGCCCGAGACGGCCCAAGAGGCCCCCACAGATCGCCGAAAGATCACCCAAGAGACCTCCAAGATGGCCCCAGAACGGCCCAAGAGGGCCCCAAGACGGCCCCAAGAGGGTCCCAAGGCGGCCCAGGAAGCTGTTAAGACGCCCAAGATGGCCTCTCAGACGGCTCCGATGCGTCCCAAGAGGGCCCCGAGTCGGCCCAGAGTGGCCCCCAAGACGGCTCCCGACGGCGTCAGACGTGCCAGGAGCCCACCAAAACGGCCGAAGATGGCCTTAAGATGGCCCAAGACGGCCAGAGAGGCTTCCAAGAGGGCCTCCAGGAAGGCCCGAAAAGGGCAAAATCATTGATTGACCTAGAGAGTGTTTGAAGGATTGTGGCACTTGCTTTGTTTCGGCCTTCCGACGGCCCGAGACGGCCCAAGTGCCCCCAAAGATCGCCCAAGAGGCCAAAGACACGGCCCCAAGAGGCCCCCAAGACGGCCCAAGAGGTCTCCAAGACGCTCAAGATAGCCTCCAAGACGGCCCAAGAGCCCTCCAAGACGTCCTCCAAGAAGGCCCGAAAGGGTCAGAATGGCCTCCAAGACGGCCCAAGAGGGTCCAAGATACCTCCTAGTTCACCCAAGAAGCCTCCCAGGGGCCTCCAAGACGGCCCAAGAGGCCTCCAAGAGGGCCTACAGGAAGGCCAGACAAAGCCTAACACACTAATTTCCTACAGGTGTTTGAAGGGTTTTGACATTTGCTTTTTGTTAGGCCTTCCGACGGCCCGAAGCGGCCTACGAGCCCCCAAAGATCGCCCAAGATGCCTCCAAGATGGCCCCAGAACTGTCCAAGAGGGCCCCAAGACGGCCCCAAGGGGCCCCCAAGACGGCCCAGGAGGCTGTTTAGACGCCCAAGATGGCTTCCAAGAGGGCCCCAAGTCGGCTCAGAGAAGCCCCCCAAACGGCTTCCGACGGCGTCGGACGGGCCAGGGGCTGAACATGGCCCTAAGATGGCACATGACGGCCCAAGAGGCCTCCAAGAGGGCCTCCAGGAAGGCCCCAAAAGGGCAAAATTATTGATTTACCTAGGGAGTTTTTGAAGGATTGTGGCACTTGCTGTGTTTCGGCCTTCCGACGGCCCGAGACGGCCCAAGTGCCCCCAAAGATCGCCCAAGAGGCCCCCAAGAGGCCCCCAAGACGGCCTCAAGAGGCCCCCAAGACGGCCCAAGAGGTCTCCAAGACGCTCAAGATAGCCTCCAAGACGGCCCAAGAGCCCTCCAAGACGTCCTCCAAGAAGGCCCGAAAGGGTCAGAATGGCCTCCAGGCGGCCAAGATGACCTTCAAGATGGCCACGCGTTCCCCGAAGGCTTTCCAAACCGATTCGGGGAACACATGGCCCGACAGCTTGGCAGGTCTGGCCTCAACGTTCGGCCACATAGGCGCCTCCAGAAAGGCAGGGGGCGGCGGCTATTCGCCGTAAGCGTCTTCGATAACGCCAGCGTCCCAATGATGATTCCTATCCGCCCCCGCATGATGTTCCCAGATGCGCCAACGCAGCGCCGAGATGCACCGACGCGACTCTGATATATCTCATGATGATAGAGAGGGGGTCGGCGGCAGGGGGCGAAGCCCTTACGGGTCTCGCTGGTGTTGTTCTCTCTCACTCTTTCTGTCTACAGGTGTAGATACAGCACACATGAGTACATGCAGTTACACAGCTACAAATATACATGGACATGTACATATACAAGTATAGCCGCATGCGTACACAAAACATATACGCGTGCATCAACATATGCACGTACAAATACAACGACATATATAAGTACACATCAGCATACCCCTACATGTACACATACATCTAACCACTTCCGATACATACGCCACTATACATACATATACACATGCGTAACTATTATATGTGTGGCTATACATGTAGCTACATATAGACATCACCATACATACACGTAAGCATATATGTATGCAGGTACATGTACACATCTATATATATATAGATATGCACATACCTCTAAACAATATACATGAACACAAGCATACGCAAATCATACCATCATACATATACTTGAAACCATACGTTGATATATACACATGTATACACATATGCGATGAGTATACATTCAACTATGCATACACACAAGGTAGACGATACCCAGACCACCGAGATGTCGAGGATAATCTAGCCGCAACGACGTGACGGGGGCTCCCCATGACGAGCAGCCGTCTATGTATCCGCTTCCTCCTCTGAAGCCAAACATCCGACGATATTATACCTTGAATGCACGGCCCAAAATCTTGGGACCAATGCTTCGCCCTGCATCCGTTCCTGATGGTCCTGAGGCCTGGTTATTCACCGGCACCAGGGTCACATCGAAAATCAACATGGGCCGGTTGAAAAATCATACAGCAAAATATCTGGGATCGGGGGCGCACTGACCCAGGTCACTGCAAACCTGGCCCAGTCAGGCCTTGCAACATCCTTCAAGATCCTTGAAGATCCTGCGGGATCCTGCACTCTAACCCAGGTCAATGCAGCCCTGGCTTCGCAGGATCCAGCAAGATCGGGCGCTCTGGCTGACCCCGTGTACACTGACCCCCGTCCCTAAGGCTCCCGACTGGAAAGCTTGGGGATCAGCCCCGGGTCTCCTGAGGCCTTCCCGCTTCGCGATCTCCGCGCAGCGCTGCGCTATCGTCCCCTTCGGCGGCCTGGTGAACTTCAGATCGTAGCAACCTGCCCGCCTCTCTGGTAGCCGCAGACTGTGTATACACGCGCATGTGCGTTTTGCAAAGCGAATGGGCAGACTGGCTGAACGTGACATGCCAATTCAAACCGATCGACCTGGATGACCTGATTGTAGAACTGCATTCGGATGAGGAGGAGAACGGGGAGGATGAGGAGGAGGAGAAGGAAGAGGAGGAGGTGGCGAAGGAGGAGGATGAGGAGGAGGCGAAGGAGGAAGAGAAGGATTTCATGATAAGATTTGCTCAGGATGCGCTCCAGGATTTCCAGAGTATCCAACGGCCCTCGTTTCTGGAGCCCGCGCGAAGCACTAGGTAAAGTTGCACATCTAGGGGAAACTCGGAAGTCTTAGAACGTATACTTATCAATACCTCTTCATCCTCCTCCTCTTCTGATCTGTGGGGGCACGATTCTGGTGTACCAAACCAACAAAGTAACTAGTCCAACACCAGACCGTGTCGCGGGTGGCACGAGGCTTGTGTACCAAAATGGCATATCCTGGGGACAAGCTGCCACAGACAAGCCGGTCCGGCACAAGGCACGCGCGCGGGGGCGATTGCCATACATCGGGCATTCAGGCAAGCTTGATTTTTTTTTCCTTCGAGCACGCCGAAGCCAAGTCAGAAGTCGTGCGTCCAGGTGGACGCGCTAGCAGCGAAAGAGAAGTGTGATTAAACGTCACACGAGGCAAAAGAGCGTGGCCAAACACCACACGAAGCGCTCGAAGCACGGAGTGCACTCGAAGCCAAGACGATACCAAATTCAGGTGAGGATCCCCCTACAATGGGATTTTTGACAAAAAAATAAGAATATCTCGCTTCCCCCCCAAGCTGGCCGCCGAGTGTTTGCGAGACGGGGAGCACACTCCAGACACGCAAGGTCCCTGCGTCGGGGCTGCTACCACACCATCTGGCCCCAGATTCTGCGACTGCGCTGACGAAGCTGTGCGTGCTCTCTCTCTCTAATGCGTGAGTCTTCTTGATGCTCTTGAGTTGGTGGTGTTGTAGCGAACCAGCTGCTCCTGCAACGAGCGGATCATGAGAGACATCTTTTGATGCTCCAACTTCAGTTCCAGGGCGGTGGCAGCACCTTTGAGATTGTAGAGGCAAGCTACGAACTCTTCCACGTCGAGCGTGCCGTTGCCACCCTTGTCCATGATACTGAACAATTCCTTCAGGCGGCTGGCCCCTATCAAGAAGAGGTCCACTCCGTTTTCCTCTAAAGACTTCACGTTACTCCTCGAGCTCAGGATGTCTACGAAAACGTCCTCCGTGATCACAGGCGTTCCCTTTTGGGTCGTCGCACTGTCCAGCCGTTGCTCAGATGGGGGGATGCCTTCGAGAGCATTCAGGAAAAATCTACGAATTCCGTTCACCCAGCCCCTCCTCGCGTAGACGTGCTCCTGTACGTTGTCCACGCGATGCGCTGCGTCCAGAAAGACAGCAATCAGCAGGTTGAGAACACGAACTTTTGTAGATGCTGGCGGCCCATTCGTCCACCGGCATGTTGTCAGGCTCCGGCCTCCTCAGTCAGAGATTGGCTTTGCCACTTCCTGGCGCCGCCCGGGCGCCCGGGAGCCATTAGTGGGTTCCCTCCTCCTGCTTTTGCCTTTTGGGGTGGGGGCTGTGGCTTGCCTCCTCCTCCTCCTCCGCCTCCTCCTGCAGCCTCGGGGGCCGCTTCTTTGCTAGCCCGCGGGCAGGAGCGGAGCTGTGCCCCGGGCCCGCCTGCGGCGTCGTCCGGCCGCCGGTGGCGGCCGCGTGCTTCCTCCTCTTGGGCCCAGGCGGGCCCGCTGTACTGCTGGCTGCCGCGCGCCGGCCGTCCGGCCGAGGCGGCTGTGCTGGTGCTGGTCAGCGCCGCCGTTTGCCCGCGGGGGCTGCGGCGGCCTGCTCCGTCCTGGGGCGCCGCGGGGGGCGCGTGCCGGCAGCGGTTGGGCTGGCGGCGTGCTCCTCGGCCTGGGCCTCCTTGTCCTCCTCGACGTCGTCCACGTCGTCGTCGTCGTCGTCCTCCTCTTCCTCCTCCTCTATTGCTGGGGCGTCCTCGTCGTCGCCGTCCTGCTCGGCTGGGGCCTTCTCGTCGTCGGCGTCCTGCTGGCAGCTGCTGCCGCTGTCGGCCTCCTCCTCTTCCTCCTCCTCCTCCTCCTCCTCCCTTCTCTGGTGGCTGGGCCCTGCGGCCTTGATGCCGTAGCGGTAGGCCCAAATCTCTTGGACAACAACGTTCATCTAGTCCCGAACTTCCGCGTTGCTGGCGGCTGTGCTGTCGGGGTCGGGCCAGCCGCAGCGCTCCTGCATCGCCGTTGGCGGGCGTGCCAGCGCGCTGGGCCGCTGAGGGCAGCCCCAGAATGTGTGGACCCAGTAGCCCACCTGCCGTCTGCACTAGCAGCACCAGGACCAGTCGTCCTTCCGGCCTGCGAAGGTGCCTGGGGACATGACCCCGCCGACCATAAGGCAGCGCAGCTCTCCAGCTTCAGTGAGCTGCCGTCTGGCCAGGGCGGCCTGCCGGGCAGGGTACTCCTCGGGGGCGAGCCTCGCGATGGTCCTGTTCTGCCGCTTGAAGGCGGCCCACTCCTTCCGGCGCCATGCCTCACGGGCCTTGTGCGTCAGCTGCCGTCGTTGCGCGGCCAGGGCGGCCGCGGCCCGCCGCCTCCTCTTTTCTTTCTCGAGGTACCCCTGGCCCTCCTCTTCTGCTCCGTCGGCGGCGCTGTGCTGGGCCAGCCGGACGTGCGCTTCTAGGTCGATGTCCAGGTCGGAGTGCTGGTGCCTCCAGATCCCCGGGCCGACGACCTCGTAGTCAAGCAGCTTCAGCGAGGTGTCCAGCACTGCGAGCTGCGGGTCCTGGGGCCCGAGGGGCCCGCTCTTCCACCTGCGGAGCGCCAGGGCCAGCTGGCGCTGGAGCACGACGCACTTGATGTCCAGCGCCCCGCCCTCCAGGATGCGGGCCAAGTGCTTGTTGGTGCACCTGGAGGTCTTTGTGACCTTCGCGGCCGCTCTGTTCGCGGCAGCCACCTCCTTGTCCGTGGGTCTCTTGCCGCTCCAGCCGTAGACCGCCTTGGACGTGCTCAAGCTGCGGACGTACTTCAGCTTGGTGCCGCGGTCTCCCGACACGGCCATGAGAAGCTGCGCCGTGGCTGCGGCTGCCTCCAGGCGGGCCGCCTCCTTGGGCCCTGGCTTCTTGGAGAATACCACACCGAGGATCTCGATGTCGTCGACGATCTTGTCCGTCATGCCTGCCTCGGCCGCGGCCTCCTCGAGAAGCTGCCGGTTGGCCGCGCCGAAGGCCGCCAGCTGGGTCTTCTCCTCGTTCTCCTTGAGCCCCACCAGCGTAGACCACTCGTGCCAGAGCTCCACTGCGCGGAGCAGCCGTCGTGGGTCGGTGTCCGCCCAACTTCTGTCGTCCATGTAGTTCTTGGCGGTTCGGGAGGGTGGTTGTCTCCTCCTCCGCTTGCCGGCCGCTGGCGCTGCGGGCCGTTCCAGGCGGGAGCGCACGTAGGCCGAGCCCGAGATCATCCATAGCCCCAGAGCGAAAGGGCTCACCGGGTCGCCCTGCGGCAGGCAGTTGGCCAGCAGCGGGGTCTCGTACATGCATTGGTCCCAGGAGAGATACCGCTCCTGATGCTGCCACACGTCTCCAAGGGTGTCGCAGAGGCCGCTGGGAAAGCCCAGCCCCCGGAGCATCTCCACGGTTACCTCGGCGTTGACCCTGTCGAAACACTGGGAGTAGTCGACTGTGGCGCCGAAGCCTTTCACGACCATGTCGTGATGAAGGTCCGCCGCTGCCTCCTCGGCGCCCACCGAGTCCTTGCCCCCGATCGTGTCGCCGTCTCGGGGGAACGCCTGCTGCGTCCAGTCCTTCCAGCACGTCGTGCTCATCCAGGAGGCGGTGTAGATCCTCCACAGCGTGCTGAAGACGCTGATGGGCCTCGTGTCGCCCGCCTTCGTCTTCCCTCCTTTTCCCTTCTTGGGCTTCGGAAGGTTGACCTGGCGAGCCTGCTTGATGGCCCTGGGCACCCGGCCGGCCTTCTCCCATCGCGCCGTGAGGGCGGTGAAGCGCTTGATCATGCCGTCTGGGGCGTGCTTGAGCTCTGCTCCGGTCCAGCCGTCCGGGCTGGCGGCCCCCTTGGCTTTGTGGAAAGCCTCCACCATGTGCGTGTCCTGTGGGCGTGTCCAGCGCACGAAGGGCCGCGGCATGTACTCGAGGATGAAGGCTGCTCGTTTGGTTGCCTCCTCCGGGGCCAAGAGCCCTTCGCTCCAGACCTGGCGCCAGTGGTCGGAGACCCACTGGCAGGCCTGCTGCCTGGAGGCCGCCGTGACCTCCTTGCCGTGCTCGTCCTTGGCGGTGACCGCCGGCGTGGGGATCTGCGCCTTGGACTTTGCCCAGGCGGCCACTTGGGGCAGTCCCTGCCTATCCTGTCTCGCCAAGCTGCGATCTTGGCCTCCTTGTGCTTCTCCTCATCTGTGACCATGTCGCGCTTGGTCATCTCGATGGTGCTGCGCACGGCGCCCGCGAGGCCCATGGCGAGCGTGTCCTGGTGGAGCCGCCTTTGGACCCTTTGGCGCAGCTTCGGTGGCACCGGGCGCTCCTGGGCCAGCAGCTGTAGCAGCTGGTGGGCGCGGGCCAGCCACCGTCGTCGTTTGGCCTGCCGGCAGGTGCTGGTGGGGGCCAGTCCGCCCCCCGACCGTACAGTGCGGAATACGGCCGTACCCCCTTTGCCCAACTTGGCCCCGAGGCTGGCCCGGAGCTGCTTCAGGAGCGGGTCGTTCTGCTCCTCGGCCTCCTCGGCCTGCTTGAGAAGCATGCCGTAGGCGTCGCGGTAAATGGCATAGAGGGCCTGGCTCCAGGCCTGCAGCTCTTCGTCCGGCTGGATGCTGTCGCCGGCGAGCATGTCGTCCAGGGCGTCGAGTCGGCCTGCCCGTTTGGCCGCCGCTTCAGCTGCCACCAGCATTGCGCGCCAGACCCCTGTTGAGGTGCTGTCTGGTCTGCCCCAGCGGGCCCGTGGAGCCAGCTAGAGGGTTGCTGTCCGCTCGGCGTTGACTGCCAGCCTCCATTTGAGCACCTTGTGGTCGCTGACCCAGGTGTCCAAGACGGTGATGGGCTCGCTAAGGTCGACGTTGGCGCACACCCAGTCGATCTCCTTGCGTCCCAACCAGCGGGTGGGGGCGCCCACCCGATGGACTTTGCCTCCTGCCCCACGCAGCTGCCCGAAGACAGGGGACGTGTCTGCCTTCTCCGCCTCCGTGTTGAAGTCGGTGGCGAAGCACCAAGGGCGTGACGTGCTGGCCTGAATGCCCTCTGCCTCGATGACCTCCCCAACTAGCTGGGCTAGGTCGGTCTGGTCGCTGTCGTTCGGCGGCGCGTAGCCCGTGCCGATGATCGTGTTGCCCACCACTACGGTCTGGGCCGTGGCCTTCCGGAGGCGGAGGCGCGGCCCTGGCTGGTGATTGAGCGTCTTCTTGACGAGGATGGCAGTGCCTCCTTTATACTGCTGGTTGCCCCATCTGGCCGAGAAACTGTAGGCCTCCGTCGGGTAGGCAGCGTATCCATACCTTCCGGCCTGCAGGGCCAGGTCGGCGCATCCCTTGGGGCTCTGCGCGATCTCCTGCAAGAGGGCGATGTCCGGCTTGGCAGCCTGGATCTCCTCCAATGCTCTGAAGAGGCCGGCTTCCCCTCCAGTGTTGGACATCAGGATGGTGACCTCGATCGGCCGTCGAGTGGCCATCTTCTTCTTCTCTCGACGGGGCTCGGATGCGGCTGCGCCTGCCCCTGCTGTCTCTGCACGCGTGCCTCCTCCGGCACCTTCTCCTCCTGCATCTCCTTTGCCACCTCCTCCTCCTCTTCCTCCTCCTCCTCTGAGGCTTCGCTGCTCCGGCGGGCGGTGGGCCGTCGCCGCCGATGGTGCTGGGGTGTGTCGTGCAGCGTCGGGCTGCGGGATGCTATGCTGGGTCACGTCGGGTTGCGGCAGGCTGCATCGGGGATCGCCTCCCAGAGCGTTCCCTCCGCCACATCCTCCTCCTCCTCCGCTGCCTCCTCTACCTCCTCTTCCTCTTCTGGTTGCTTTCTGATCTCGCCGATTGGGCGCCGTCGAGGCGGCCTCGGCGTCTGAACGGCGTCTTGCACTAAAGTGTCCGGCTGTTTTTCCTGCTCCTCCTCCTCCTCCTCCTCCTCTTCCGCTGATGTTGTGTGGCTCCGGCTGGTGGTCCACCGGCCGAGTAAACGTCACCACATTCTCCTCCAGGGTGCGTTGGGCTGCGTCGGGCGGCGTCTGGCTGTGCTGGCCCGCGTCTGGCTGCGGCTGGCTGCGGCGGGGGGTGCTGCCTCCGGCGATCCCTCTGCCTCCACTTCCGCTGCCTCGTCCTCCTCTTCCTCCTCCTCTGCCTCTTCTGCCTCCTCTGATTGTCTCCTGACCTCCTCTGCCTTCTGTTCCTCTGCTGGCGCCCTCGTCGCCACCTCCTCCTCCTCCTCCTCCTCCTCCTCTTCCTCCTCCTCCTCCTCTGAGGCTGCACTGCTCCGGGCGTCGCCCCGCCTGGGGCCGTCCTGGGGGACTGGTCCCTAGTCAAGAAGACGAGCCGCCACCTCCGGGCGTCGCCGCCCGGCGCGCCTTCCGGAACGCAGCGAGTGCCTTGCGCCGCTGCCTCAGCTCCTCGGCGGACATCGCGAAGAAGTCTGCGATGGCCTTCTCGTTGCCTGTGGTCTCGAGCTTGTCCCACAGCTGGGGCTTGAGCCGCTCGTCTTTGCCCTTCTGCAGCTGGGCGCACGTAGGCTTGCCGTCGGCATGCCGCTTCTTGAGCGTCTTGGCCTCGATGCGGCACTTGCGGCAGTGCCACAAGGGCGCCACCTTAGGCGCCCAGGAGGCCAACTTGCGCCAGCCCACCTGGTTGACCATGACGCTCTGGACGTCGTGGCCGCCACCTTTGGCGGTGTTGAGCACCGCGTAGCTGTCGAGCGCGACCTTGCGGCGGCCCTCGCGGTACCTCTGTTTCTGCTCCGCGGTGCGGATGCCCCAGCGGCCTTTGCTTTGGCCGCGCCAGCTCTTGCGGTGCTTCTGGTACGCCTCCCGGCTGTTCGTGCCCGGGTGCTCCTTGCGGAAGTGCGCCTGGATCGACGCGGATTTCTCCCACCTGGGTAAGCCCTTGGGAAGTTTCTTCCCGCAGCCCCAGCACGTCCAGCCCGCCTCTGCGTCAGGGAGGGCCTCGGACACCGGCGTGGGCTCCACCAGCTTGCGCCTGGCCGCTATGGAGTTGAGCTGGTGCGGCTTCTTCTGGTGTAGCTTGCGCCACTCCGCGAGTTGCTCGCCGTGCTTCTGCTTGATGTGGTTCTGCCAGGTCCAGGCCGGCTTGTTCGGGATCTCCCGGTTGCACCATGGGCAGGTCGTCGTCGGCACTGCGGCGGCCTTGCGCTTGGCGCCGGCGGCCAACCGCGGCCGCGGCACAGGCACTTTTGCTCCTACATCCTCGTCCTCGCCCTGGAGCGGCGCAAACCAGGCGCCCAGGTCCTCCAGGTTCGCGATGTCCTTCGAGCGTGAGGCTGCCGAGGTCGCCCTCCTCGTGGGCGCTCTCGATTTCTTCGGTGCGGTGGTCGCGCTGCGTGGGCCGAACCACTCACTGCAGACTGCGGTGCTGCCTGCCGCGCTGCGGGCGGCGCTGCCTGCGGTGCTGCCTCCTGCTCCTCGCCAGCTGCTGCTGTTGCGGTTGGCGGCGCTGCACGGGAGCTTCAGCAACTCCTCGGGCCACTGTCCCGAGTCCGGCTTCTTGACGACGCAATAGTGTCTCTTGACCAACGTGAAGATCGCGATCTTCTTGTGGCTGCTGCTCAATCGGGCTCCGCGGAGGAAGCTCCCGAGGAGACGCCACTTTCCAGGCGCCTTGGCGCCAGGCTCGAAGATGAGGTAGTCCATGTCGGTGATTGCCGCGGCGGCTCCGAGCCCATATCCGCAGATGTAGCGTCGGCGCCTCGTCGTGATCGCGTTGATCAGGTCCTCCGGGCTGGTGATTGCAGGTCCGTCCTCCCATGCTGGGTTAGTCAAGGGGCCCTGGAGCCACCCTGGGCCCCAGACGTCCAAGTGCTGTCGCAGGTGCAGGCCCGCCTTGGTCCGCAGGGACGTGGCGAGGCTCACGATGTTGGGCCGGATCTTGTCGACCGTCTTGCCGTTCTCGAGGCAGGACGCCGCCACAGCCACCCTCCAGCCACAGTCGCCGTCACCTCCGAAGTCTACCTCTTGACAGCCGCCTGGTCCCTTTCTCGGGTCTAGCGGGCGACTTCGTCTCTGGGGCCTGGGCTGTCCTGGCCCCCTCCTTCCTTGCCTGTTTTGGGTCAGGCGGTGCGCCGTCCTTGTCCTGCGCCGCGGCGTCGGCCATGACCTCGTCCTTCTTCTCGGCGGACTCCTCGGTGTCCATGGCTGTGTCGGCGGACTCCTCGCTCTGAGGCCGAAGCCATCCTCCGGTGCGGCGTACTGGCTTCCCCTCCTCCGGTTCCTTGGTGGTGCGCCGGGTCCACTTCCTGATGATGATCGCCTTCTCGCCGTAGGGGATCACGTCCACGAGGTCCTCCACCTCGTCGGCGCTGAATAGCCAGCCCTGCCCCCGGAATCTGGGGGCCGAAAGATTCTTCAGGGAGCTGTAGCCCTTCTGGGTGAGGAATTCCTCCACTTTGGATGGGCTCCAGTGGGGAGGTAAGTTCTTGGCAATGTGGAACGTGCCGGCCTTCTTGGCGGGGGGTTTGCCTGAGATCCCCAAGCACTTTCCGCCGCCCCGCCGGTGCACCAGGGGCTTGGCCTCCTGCTCGGCGATCGTGAGACTCGCCTGGAAGTACTGGCGGTCGGTGGTCCCCGCAGCCTTGGCCTGCCAGTCCACGGGTACCTTCGCCTGGCGGTCGGCGGCCAGCTGTTCGATGAACACCCCGTTGCGACCGCTGGTGGCCGTCAGCTTGCTGGCCTGCGCCGGCTCCACTTTGACGTACGTCATGTAGTACTCCTCGTCCCCCTCGCCCATGAGCTGCCATTGCTCGACCTTGAGGTCGGTGTCGGTCCGGATGTTGGCCTCGGGCCGCTTCCGGATGGCCTTCCACTCGTCCTCGGACAGGAATCTCTTGAAGACCTGCACGCGGAGGGATTGCTTCTTCGGGGCAGCCGCTTCCTCGATCTGATCGTGCAGCCGCTCTTTGATCTTGAATGGCGCCAGGCCGGCGCCGTCGTTCACGGCCATGATCATGACCTTTTTCGTGCCGAGTCTCTCGAACTCGAGATGCCGCTCGGCCTTGCTGGTGACAGCGGTGGTCCAGCTCGGGGCAAGAGCCCCCTCGACGTCGATGATGATGGTCATCTGGACGGCGAGGTTCAGGTTACTGGCGAGGAGGCGCAACTCCTCGGCCTCGCTCCAATTGGCGACGGTGTACTTGACCCCCTCGGGGGCGGCACCGTTTTCCCCCAGATGCTTCAGGATCGTCTGGACGGCCATCAGCTGACCCTTGGCGACGCCAGCGACCTCCTTGTCGAGCTTCAGCTTCTGGTAGGCCTTCTTGGGCCCTCCTGCTTCCGCCTTTCGCTTCGGGCCGGGCCTCACCACGTCCGCCCAGGAGACCTCTTTATCAGGGACCTCGGCTGCGTCTGGCTTGCCTCGGCTCTTGTTCCTTTCTCTGCTTTTGCTCCTGCTTGCACTCCTGTCTCTGCTTTTGCTGCTCCTCCTCCTCCTGCCTCCTGGCGTCTTGCTTCTGCTCCTGCTGCTTCTTCTGGTCCTGCTGCGGCTCCTCCGGGAGCCTCCCTTCAGCAGGTCCTCAAGCTGCTGGCGGAGCTTGCGCGCGCCACCGCCTTTCCGGGCCTCCGCCACGATCTTTTCGAGTTTTTGGAGCAGGGATGGGTTCTCGCCGTCCTCCTGCTCTTCCTCTTCCTCCTCCTCCTCCTCGCCAGCTTCCTGAAGAAGTTGCGCCAGCTGCTCTAGCAGTTTGGCCTCTCGTTTCTTCCTCTTGGTGGCTGCCTCGGTGCCTCCTCGGAGCTCGTGGTCGTTGCCATCCGCCCAGAAGACATCTTTTGGTGGTCCTGCTCCTCCGGGAGCTTCCTGCCGCTTCCTCCGGGGCTGTCCCCCGTGCTTCTTCGTCTTCAGCTTTCGCCTCCTCGTAGTGGTCGTCCTCGTCATGGTCGTCGTCTCGGGGGTGCTCCCTCCTTGGTCTTCACCTTCCTCCTCTTCTTCTTCTTCTTCAAGATGTTCCCATACATCCTGCCATGCATCTTCATTAGCCGGCTGCTTCCCCGCATCCAGCGTGTGGTCGGTATTAGCCGGCTGCGCCCGCGCAGCCAGCGTGTCTTCGGTAGGTTCTTCTGCAAGGTGAGCCCCTGCAGCGTGTCGTAGTGCATTGAGCCGCTCTTGCACGCGGCCTTCCAGGGCAGCCTTCGCGTCCCTGAATTCAAAATACTGGCGCCGCCTCTGCCTCCTGCAGCCCTCCTTTTCTACCCTCTCTAGCAGCCTCCTCCGCCACCCTCTCCTGTTGCCCTTTCCTGTTGCCCTGTAGTCCTCCGCTGTCGTCGTTTCGCAGTCCTTGAACTCCTCGTTCAAGGGCCTCGTGTCCACCGCTCGAAGGCCGACAACACCGTATTTCTTGAGGACACTCAGCAGGTTGAGAATGCAGAAAATCCCAATGACGATGTACAGGACCAAGCACCACGTCAATACAAAATGTATATGCCGGAAGGGGCGTGCAATTTCGCCCCAGTCCCGTCCACCGGTGAGGGCCTCGAACCGCGAGCACATGCTCTCCCATAGATTCGGGAGGTTCCGTGTGATGTAATGAATCGCATGCGCGTCCTCTGCGTCGAGGTCTCTATCCTGGACTGAACGCAAATACTCCGTCAGAAGCTGAGCTATCAGAACTCCGATCAGGTGGGTCAAACACGCCAGCAGCACCCCAGCCCAGAAGAGAGGTTTCGCACAATTCAAGAGTCCAGTAACCATAGTCTTCAGTTCTTTGAATTCGCGGACTACCTTGAAGGCGCGCATCATTCGGGTCACCCTGAGCAGGCGAGATAAACGCAGGAAACCAAAGGTAATGACGTCGACTGTAAAATATCGAAGAATCTCTTCGATAACGGTGATCAGGATAAGCAGCGTGTCCATCCAATTCCAGAAACAGTCCGAATTGCGGGGCAGCAAAAAGAAGGCGGCACCGTCGGAGACCCAGCGGACTACCAGTTCCACCAGAAACGCGAGTGCGAAGAAGGCGTTGGCTAGTCGCCACGCGATGCCATCTGGCGTAGTCAAGCCCGATGAGGTTATGGTTGCGTTAGCCTCAAGCCCCAAAAAAATGCTGTTCGCTACTATCAAGCACGAAGTGCACACGGCGAATCGGCGGCGTTGGTGGACCATCATTCTGCAGCGGCTGTGCATGGAAGAACCGTCCTCCTCGAAAAGAGCCGAGGAAACTCTAACACTCAAGCCAACGGTGCTGGACTTCTCCAACGGTGGCCGCTTGGCACAATCCTCCTCGGCGGCCGACTCGGCGACGGAGTCGACGTCTTGCGAAGCCCCTGGCCCGATGAGCGCCTCAATCCTGGCCAGGGCATCCCCGTGATGCTGGACCTTCTCGAGCAGGCAGGCCTCCCCGGCGCGCCGCTCCTCCATCTCCCGCTCCAGCAGCTCCGCCAGGCGGCCCCCCACGCCACCTCGTCCAGCTGCGCCTCATCGTGGTTTTCCTGGGCCTCCTCCGCGGCGCCCCCCCGCAGCTGCTGCGGGTGCTCCGCCAGCAGCCGCTGCACCTGCGCCGCCAGCGCCTGCTGTTTCTGGGATTCCTCCACGAAGGAGGCCTGCAGCTGCCTCGTCTTGTCCGCCAGCATGTTCTGGATCGTCGCCAACATCGCCTCTGACCACCAGATCCGCTCGGAGACGAGGTCTGGCTGGGACGACGTGCGCGAGACGTTGTCCGCCAGAGACCCCGCATCTCGAGGCGCTCCCGGGGGTGTGACGCCAGATCCCGAGGGCCAAAAGCCGACGAGCTCGGCCATGGCGCAGAGGCACCCGTGCCTCGCCGCAGCCCCGCGTCTGCTCCGCGCGCCGGCGGGGAAGGCTCGCCCGGAGCCCGTGCAGGGCGCGGGCTCGCGGCAGCCTCGACCAGGCAGCGGGAGAGACCCAGACCTGCGACGTCCTGTTTTCCTGACTACCTACCCAGAGAACGTCTGGGGAGGCTGTGCAGCCACCTTGAGCCAAAATGGCTACGGAGGCAACCTTGATTGTTCTTGGAGCCCGTGTGCCAAATCCGCCGACCCTGTCGGCGTGTGGAAGATGCTTTTCCGTTCGTCGTGAACGTCGTCGTCGTCGTCGTCGTCGTCGTCGTCGTCGATGCTCTTCCGTTCGTCGTCGTCGTCGTCGTCGTCGTCGTCGTCGTCATCGTCGTCGCCCTCCCCTCAGGCGCACCAGCCAAAGCGAAACCAAAGCGAAATCGAGCAACGTCGTAGCTGAGTCGAAGGCACAGCGAAATTGAGCAACGTCGTAGCTGAGTCGAAGGGAAACCCCTTCCCTTTGATCCCTTCCCCGCCGGGGGGGGGTCCCTGGGGGGGGGGGGGGGGGGACGCATCCCCCCCGGGATGTCCCAGGACCTAGAAAAGCCCCCAGACTGGCCAAGAGTGCCCCAAGAGGCTTCCAAGACGGCTCCAGAGGGCCCCGAATCGCCGAACCATCGGTCGAAGACGCCAAAGTAGCCTCCAGACGGCCCAAGAGATTGCCAAGACGCTCCAAGAAGTCTCCAAGAGCACTCCCAAGAGGGCACGAAGAGGGAAAAATCAATGATTTCCTTAAAGTTTTTGACAGATTTTGGCGTTCTCGCCGTTTCAACTTGCCGACGCTCCAAGACGGCCCCAGATGCCCCCAAGATTGCCCCAAGATAGCCCAAGAGGCCTCAAGAGAGCCCCAAAATGACCCAAGAGAGCCTCAAGACCGCCCAAGATGCCTCCAAGATGGCCCCAGAGGCTCCCCAAACGGCTCCAACAGGGTGCCCAGACGGGGGGCCCGACGAGCCCTCGGCGACAAAGACTCCCAGGAAGCCCCAAGATGCCCCCAAGAGGCCACCACGAGCTCCCCAAGAGCCCCACAGGAAGCCCCAAGAGGCCCACAGGAGCTTCGCGTGCTCATCCGGCATGAGCTGAGGCTCGGTTGGCTCACCCTTTAAACCACGTAGCTACTGAAAAGCGCGGGGCAAGGTAGCTGCCCCCGGAGTGCCGAGCCCAAGAACACTCCAAAGCAACCCCAAAGGCTCCCAAGACCCCCCCCCAATACGGTCGAAAAGACCAGCGAGAAAGCCCCAAACTGGCCCAAGAAGGCCCCGAGAGAGTCCCCGAGATAGCCCCAGAGTCCCCGAGAGACCCTTGAGAATAGCTCCAGATCGCCACCGCCGTCAACGGCGTCGTCGTCGGCCAAAGACGCTCCCGAGAAAGCCTCACGATTGCCAACAACGGCCCCAACACGACCCCCCCCCACACGAGACCCAGAGATACCCCCAAGAGGCCCCCCCGCCACATGAGAGAACGCATGGGTCGCCCTCCAGGGTCGGCGGCACGGGCCGTAAGGCCTTCGCAATAATGTGGCACGACCACTGCTCTTGCCTCTGCTGTTTCGTCCTGACACCGCATACTTGCTGCACGCCATGCTGCGAACGGATACGAAGACCAGGGTGCCCTAGCCAGAGACGAGGCCTCGAGCCACTCTACGAACCGATTCTCTGGCAAGCGGCGTGTCCACCACACTGCGAAGCAAACACATCGAATTCTCTGGGAACAGACATGTGCCTTAGACGAGATGCTGGCAGATTCGCTCGCACGGAATTCCGAACCTTTCCCCTCCTGCCTTTTTTTTCGCTTGGCGCTGGGCCAGCAGGGGGGCCAACAGTTGCATTAGAAGGGGGGGGGCGGGAAGGGGGCGGGGCACGAGCTCCCTGCCTGGGACTTTCCTGGGGGCCCCTGACAGCCACATAACACGGCGCGACCAACGCCGAGACAATACAAGAGAACGTCGAGCCGAACCAGGGCAATCCCGCGACGGTCCAAATTGGGTTCAAGACGACCAGGACCCACAAGACGGCCCAAGGATGCCCCCAGAATGGCCGCCGAGAAGGCCACCAAAAAGGCAACAACCGCACATGTCCCGCAAGGGAAACGCGCACGTGTTCGAGACACACACACAAACAAACACACTCACACTCACACCAACACACACACACACACACTCTCACACTCGCTTGTTTAACCAACGCGGAGAAGTCGCCCCCTGGCAGAGGAAAAGGGGAAGAGAGCAGAAAAGGGGGCAGAGGGGAAGGAGGAGAAACGGCAGGAAGGGCGAGCAGAAAAGGCACTCACACACACACCCACACACACACATACACACACTACACACACACGCACACACTACACACACTCACACTTAAACTCACACTCACACACACACACACACACACACACACACACACACACACACACACACACACACACACACACACACACACACGCGCACTCTCTCACACACACGCACGCGCCTTCGTCGTCTTGGCAGCGTCCATCACGGCCCAGAGAGCCCCCAAGATCGTACCACGACTGCATATGAGACCCCAGCAGGGCCACAAGACTATCCAATGGAGCCCCAAGAGAACCCAGGAGGGCCCCAAGACGACCCCAGGGGGTCCCGAACGACACCTCGCATCTTTCCCGCCGTGACGGCCCCAAGAGTCCCCCAGGCGCCCCCGAGAGTCCCCAAAAGGCTTCCATGGGGCCCCCAAGAGGCCCCCAAGAGGCCCCCAGGGCCAATCGGATGCTCCCAGGAGACCTCCCCGAGGGCGGCACAGAGGCACAGCAGGAGACCCTCGCATCCATCCCCGAGGCTTCTGACCAACAGGCCAGTCACGGTGGTGCGCTTCTTGGCGAATTCACTGCAATGGGGAGTCGGCGGAATGGCGCAAGCCTCTTGAATCGAGGGCGAAACGGTGTCTTGCAGTGGGGCCCCGACGACAAGAAACCTTCCACAAGCATGCAAAACCCTGAGACCACAGGACGTCCATCGATTTTTGGTGTGGGAATGTCACGCTTTCCATTGCAAAACCATCAAAACCCACAACCCAGGGAACCCTGGAGGCAAGCAAGGTGTTTCTGGGCATGGGACTTCACTGTATTAGAACTGCCCCACACCCGGGCAACTGAAAGCGAGGCTGCGGATCTTCTGGCTGTGCGCGTCGTTGCAGATGCATATTATGGGGTTGCGCGTCTTCTTGATCATCTTGATGAGGGCCGCGTTCCCACCGCGGTCACCTGAATCAGGGACCACCTCTACTCTTCGCAGCAGCTCGCAACTTGCATGCGAACGCGAGGCTGATTCAAGACTCGACCGCACCTGGACGTGCATATCGATGGCTCAACACTGCTCGGAAAGGGGGGAAGGGGGGGCATGCGAGCTGGAGACAATGGAAAAGCACATGGCTTCCTCAGACGAGAAACGTGTCGTGTATCTCCTAATGGCTTGCAGAAAGGGGCTCTGTCAAACTTCATACTTTGGATGATAATTAGTGCGCCTGCAATATGGACCTGGATGTCAACATGCCCGTGAACACAAGCATACGCTACAGGCGGTGGCAGCGTGCCGCCCCTCGACCCTCTTGCACCCTCTGCAAGCCTTGGCATCAAAGCTGCGATAGCTTCTGACACGCCCTGGAGATCCCCATAACAGCTCTACACGGCGAACGGTCTCCTTTACATGGTCGGGTTTCACACTCGCATCCCTACGCGCGCACTCCCGACATATCGATGTACCCTCTCAGTGCCCCAATCGCTGAACGAAGTGCCGCGGTAGAGACTCGACTGAAGCAAATTTGGTCGCAACCCCAACTCGGAGCGCAGTGCAGGCGCGTTCCCCGCAAAGACATCGTTTCAGCGTCGGTCGGCAAAATCAGGGCGGCCAGTTTTCCCCCAGCGGTTTTCCTGGAAATGTGACGCTGTCCTCCGCTTTCACGCACGATCAGATGTTGTACACTTGCACACATGCTGTCCCTCGGCCCGACTTAGGGTCCGCCTCCGCGCGACCCCGCCACGGATGTCAAAACATTGCCCAACGCTTGCTCAATCGACTCGACTGGTTCAAGGCCCCATCCGTGAGGGATAGAAGGACAACACCAGCATGAACAATCACTTCCGGGGATCCACGAGGACCTCCGAAGTCGGCGCTGGACATCGCTCCCTGGCGGCGCCTCCGCCGCGCCCCTGGTGTGCTCCGCGCGCCAGGGAGAGGAATCGAGCGCACATCCCAGAAATCCGTGCGGAACTCAAACAAAAACTACGTTTGTGCGGCTTGTCAGTCTTTCCCGAGATCCGGCCTTTCCCGAGATCCGACGTCGTGGAAAACACACGACGCGCACAACTTCACGACGAACACCGCAGTTAGAGCCCTGGTCTCCACCAGGCCCGAAGCCGGCAGGGAGGCAGCTTATTATTATTAAGACTCTGGCAATTTGACTGGCATGGGTGGTGGGCGTGGCGACCCCTGAAAAGAGATCGGGGCTTCTTGCAAATCGGGGCTGACATGCGGGGTTTTCGGCCCACCGCCAGTTGAAATGGCGGGTGGCGGCGGAGGGGGGGGGAGCCATGTAAGCAGAATTCGTCATAGTCCAAATGCAAGCGCGCCCTTACCGCGAAAACCACGGCCGGAGCCCCCGTCACCAGACCCTAAGCAACGCAAACGTAGCACTGGTACCTTGTCTCGGACATTGGCCGAGGGGGAGGTGTGGAATGGCCCCGGGAGGAACATGGATCTGGAATCGACGTTGCATCGCCGATAAGACGGCGATAGGCCCCCAACAGCGAAACCGCACGCTGCTGGACGGGTTGGATTTCAGGCCCTTTCGGCGATGAGTGGGCGCTTCGGAATTGATGCATCCATCCCTGAGCCTATCTTCCCCTCAGCGTTGCCACTGGCCTTCGAATTATAATTCGTGCCTCTGGCCGCCGTTCGGGTGACGAACCTCGAAAACCTCGAACCTCGATCTCCCCCCAACCGTTGGTCGTGAGTGGCTCTCACGGAGAGGGGGGAGACGAGACACACTCTGAGCTTGGCGGGCGCAATCGGATCCCAGGGCGCGGCGCGCGGACGCTGGCACACATGGTCGAATCAATCGGATCGTGAACACCGGCTCTAACCTTGATCGTAGGTGTCTATTGACTCCTGGAGGCCCCCCCTGGGCATCATCGCGGCGTCAATGAATCACGACGGTCGGTTCTTTGAACACGCGCTGCCTCCGAGGGCCCTTGGTGGGCCCAGGTGTGCGCGGGAACGGGTGGACGACGGGCCGATCTCCTCCCGAGTATCCGTCTGTAGAGCCGGCAACGGTGGGTGAGGGACTGCGATGAAGGTTATTGAATGTTGAAGGGCCCCAGGGACACACACAGAAATACACACAAATCCCAGGACTCCCCAAATGTTTGAATACTTACGCAGGCCGAAAGATTTTCCTCTTGAGCCCCACATGTCGGAAGCGACGCGCCGATCCCCTCTGTTCTCCTCCCACCTCCTCTTGCCTCTTCCCTCATCCTTCCCCTCCTCATCCTGGGAAGACCCCCCTCCCCCGTAGAACCATAGCATGCGTGTGCAGATCCACAGCTCCGTGGACAGCATGATGCTTCACTTGCGGTGCTCCGCGGATCCCATTTCCCCTGGGCCCCGGATGTTAATTATTATTGTTATTATATATACATATATATATATATATATATATATAATATATATATATATATATATCCCGGGACATATATGGATCCATCGTTTTTAACACACAGGAAATTGGATCCGCGCAGCACAGAACTTGGATCCACGAAACTCTCCCACACCCGAAAGAGGATCCAATTTGATCCATTGTGGTTCTCATATTTTTCAGTTCAAGAGGAAAAAACTTTCGGCCTGGGGATGTATTTGTTGGATTTGCATCTTCCCCCCCCACTTCCAGTGTTTTCCAATCTTGTCCTGGGAATCGACGATTAATTGTGTCTGTACTTTTCCCTCATGAGAGATACCCTTCTCCACTGTCCAGGGAGTCAGCGCGCACTTCCCAATGCCTGCGCGCCGAAAGGAGCTGCGGGTACAATAAAGGAGAGGATTGGTAAAGGGTGCAATCACTCCCCCCGTCCCGAAATTCGACCCGCGAAACGCCAAACTCGAAACAGAAGGGAAGGGGTTCGGGAACGAAAAACGTGAACCCCTATCCTTGCCAGACTGCACACCGCGCTGTCAAGCCCCAATCGGCAACTGAGGTAAGACTCCCAATTTCGACACCTCCGTGCCCACTAGCGGCGCAAACCCCAAAAACGCTTCTTTGCGCAAGCAGGAGTGAAGGGCGTGAAAGCCAGGGTGGAGCAAGGGAACTGGGTGCTCGAGTGGACACTCGCATCGCCCAGAAAAACCGGGTCGGACGGATGCACGCGCACTATGGAAGGGGGACGCCGCGGTAGCCAGACCATGATGCGTCAGCCTTCGGGACACCTCGCCAGGGCACGGGGACACAAAAACAATTTTACAGCGCGAGCCGTCCGAGTTAGCCCAAGCTACTGCTGCAACGGTCGACGTCAAACGCGTATGGAATCTCAAATGACCCTCACTCGGCGATGCGGTTGGACGTGCCAAATGCACGCCTCCCGCGTGAAGCAAGAATAACATGCTAAAATTAAGCTGATAATCGCGTCTCAAGCGTCCGCGAATTGAACCAGAAATATCAACCAACACATCTTGTAATGAAGTCTCAACGGGTGGAACAATCCATCGTCTCAATATAAGATCTCGGTGCTGTCTTGCACATCGAAATATATTGGGAATGCCAGCGCAACGCGTATACATGTTTTTGTTTGTCATGTGGGGAATATGCATTGGGATGCCGCTTCAGTCGCAAATCTCAATGTACAGCGGGAGTGCCACCGCGCGTGCATTCTATTGCGAAACACCTGCGCAACCACTCGAGGTGCGCGACCCACGCGCCCTGGAGCAACAACGCGGCGTTTCCACCCAAGGGATCTACGAGAATTTAACGTGAGCTTCGCAGGTGTGTTTCTGTCCATAGGTAGGACGAATGCAGGAGCTCCACCTCGCAACCTGTGGGCGGTGAGGCCGAGGTTCCTGGTATCTGAGGGCCCTGGCGTGAGCTCCACCCCGCAAGCAGTGAGCATCCTGCGTGTGGCTTTGTCCACGGAAGCTGCCGCCTGCAAGAGTTGCCCCTCATAGGCGTGTAGCGAAGGGGTCGAACGCTCCATGGTCAATTGTTCCTACTGTGTGGGTGGAGTGTGAGCTCGGACCGTCGAATGCATCGTGGGTAGGGGTCAGATATTTCAAAAATCCTCAGGCATGTTGAAAAGGTCTGGAGAAATGGGCACGATGGCGGCATTCGCCCTGTGAGAACCCATACTTTCCTCGGGACTGCGTGCAACAACCCGCGAGGCAGGGGAGTCACCGGCATCCGCCGCAGAAGGCGACGCGCCCGTACGAGATGGGCTGGTCGCCATCTGGGCAAAGCTGGCAACCCGTGTCGGGGAACGGGCGACCGCTGGGCCGATCCCCTCCCGATGACTCGTCGGTAAGAGCGGTAATGATGAGGAAAAGACTCTGATAAAGGCCTCACGCTTCTCCGTCGTTCTCCAAGAGCCAACGTGTAAGTGCTAATTCCTGCGATCCGAATAGGGCAACGGGTATGCTGAAAGAGAAGATTGGTAGAGGGTTCATTCACACAGGGACCGTCAAAAACGACTCGGGATGAGAAGCTGGCCATGGGAACAAGTTTTGACCTCTGGGGAGCGACGCTGCGCAACAAAAACATGGTGTCTGGGTCTTCGGAGGGGATTTCCATGATTTCGTCACCACGGAGTGATGAAAGGCTGAGTCCAGCAATTAGGAAACAGGTTGCGCCTGGCCTTTGTAATGAGATGGGGACGGCACGGATTCCCTGAACCCCTGAGTGGGCCTGCTCGAGGAACCCGCACAAGCCGCAAAACCAAACACCACCTGCCAAGTGTAAGCTCCGTCCGATCGGGACTGGGGTCAGCATGCGGCGGGGGACTGAAACACTTTTTCTGCGGGCTGCTCGCATTTCGAGGTCAAGCTGAAATACACCGTGCACGATCTACCACGGTCGGCCAGGGAGTGGGCAGACGCGAAGCGGGCGGCAGGGCCAGGGGGGACGAGGCGGCCGAGGAGCAGGAGGAGCAGGAGGGGCCTCAGCATCCTGTCTCCCCAAGGGGGGGGAGCTCAAAAGCGGGCTGTGGAGCCAAGCATGGAGGGTCGAAGGCCAGGGACCTCCTCCTCCTCCTCCTCCTCGTTTCCCCAGGCCCCTGGCCCCGGCAACGCGAGCGCGGGCTGGACGTGGTGGAAAGACTCGCGAGGGCGAGGAGCCCCCCCGAGGGCCGCGCGCCGGCTTGACGGTGCCGCTCGCGGGCAAAACACGCGCCAACTAACAGGGGATCTGTCGACCCCAATCCCAGGCATTGGGAGGTTTTCGAGTGGACCCAAAATTTAGGGCCCAACTCTGGGATATACGATGGGGGGCGTCCATGCTCGATACGGGCACGTCCGAATGGCCCCCTCGGGGTATATCCCGGGGTTCCCCTCTTTTTCTGAGTGGCTGCCTTTTTCATCGAAAAGTCGGGCGGCGGGGGCGAAAAATCGCCTGCGACCAACGTCCCCCCGGTTCGGAAAAGGGCAGGTTGAGACAACGTAGGCTCCCGCCTGGTCCAAAGCCGCCCAGAATCGGCTCGGCGATTCAAAAGGGTGTGGTTTGCAAAGCGTGTGGTTTGCAGCCGGCACCCTGGGGAACATCCTTGGAGGCACCCTAGGGGGCGCGCGGGGACCTCGGTAGAGTTTTCCCGCGCCCAGGGGAGGCCCGACGGAGACGGTGTCGTGCCCCCCAGGCCCCAACGGTACCGATCGCAAACCACACCCCGGCGCAACCATACCCTTTGTAGTCGCCGATCGGTTCGCGGGCCACTCTCAGGGTCCCTCGAGGCGGCTCCAACCATGGCGACGAGAAGCCTCCAAGAGGACCCCCACAAACAATAAGACGTCGCGGCTGCATCGACACGATATTGGCATGAGAGTCCGCGCCGCCAACCGGCACATGTACTCCTCTAAGGCCCCCCCAGCAAAGCCGCCTGCGCCCATGCCGTCCACCTCGTCCATGATTATGCACGCCCGCTTCGTGAATCCAGAGACCTTCGGCGCACGATCGCTTGACTCCAGGATGATGAGAGGAGGCAATGGTAGAGGAACAACGGTAGGAGTAGGAGGAGCGGAAGACAAACAAGAGGTCGCCCAGAGAATTGGAAAGTACCCCCCTAGCCCCTGGCAGGCGGAGGAGGCGACGTCTCGCAAAGGTTGAATGAGCGACGAAAAGAAAGGGTGTCCTACGCGAGTTGACATAACGACCTCACGCGGTGGCTTTCGCGGGCCGCCAGCGCGGAATGCTACATTGGAGACGAGGGCGCTTACGCGCGTCCTCACACAGGCAGCATACGCAAGAGACGAGCCTGTTTGCTTTTGCGCCGCTCAAGTGGGGCCCAACAGAGCCCCGTCCTGGGACGGCGGCCCCGTCTCGCCCTGTCGGCCTGTCGCCCTGTGTTGGCTTGTCAGCCCTGGCGGGCGACGGGCTTCCACGCCCATCTCCTCTGACCCTCCCTCCTCCCGCCCTCCCTTCCACTCGACCTCCCTCCATATCCCACACTATCGTGCAACAAGCCAGGAGATAGGGAATCGCCTCCGGCATCCAGCGCAGGAGGGTGGTCTGAATGCGAGCGACGTCGATTACGACGCTGTGCTGTCATCTCGACGTTCTTCACAGCCCTGGGTCTTCAACGATTGGCTCCCTCTTGCACGTTGAGATCTACGCGATGTTCGTACAGGGATGTCTCACCCGGTCGGTCTATCGCCACAGCGAGCCCCCATGGGGGATCCTCAATAAACTGATGCGGATGATTTTCTCCCCACATGTCTCTACGTTGCGAGGCTCTGGCTTGGGATATTGTAGCGGGACTCTGACCCAACTCGAATAGATATGGCGCTTTTACGCTTACTCGCCCTGGTCCAGTTTCGTCAACAGGCTCCACTTCGGTAGCGCGCGTCTTGGTTAATCGAGATACCGAAATATGTGGCCACTGGCAAGGACACAACACGGGATCTTCATTTTTTGTTGGGCTCTGCCTGGTGCTTAGATAGCCACGTTGTGGGCCCGTGGATCCCACTCTTTGGATAGAGATTATGCTACTGGATATTCTCGCTGCCGTCGCAGGGAGGAGTCAATTGCTGTATCCACGTGCCTTGCCCTTCGTTAGCCATCAGTGGTCCGCGGCACGTCCGAGCTCTTTTCTCGATATGCGCAACGCCTTCTGTTGCCCTCACATGTCCGAGCTTGAATCGTACATCAAGGCCGCCTTCGTTTCTTCCCCGTTCGAGCGCGAGATGTTCTTGACTGAATTGGAGTGCGCCTTGGTCCGCGCTGACACAGCCGACGGAATGCAGATGTGGTACTTGATCGGCTCTGGTGTTGTGATGGGGCACCGCGATGTGCCGAAATGGCTTCTCGGCGTGTTCCATCCCAAGATCAACCAGTATGTGAATAGCCTCGCTGAGCTCCGTATTGTTTCCTCGCTGGGGCTTTGTGGCGTCGTGCGCCAAGCGGACGTGCGGACTGCAACTTTTGCTGTTGATGCCAAGACAGAACTGGTGGCAAACTCGTTCCCTACAACTCTGTTTCGGTGTCGTGTTACATCCGAGCGGCTGGATCCTGCTCTCTTGAACTCTGCCGGCATTCCTTCGATCGTGCAACACAAGGGCAAGTGCGAGGTCGTCAATTGTCTTGGTCGTGTTTCTTAGGGCAATCTTCGTCTAGCTGTTGCGGTTTTCCTGGAAGGGTCGTCTCTTCTGCTAGGCATTTCGGCGGCGGCCGAAATATCCTGTGCAAGTTCAGTACCCTACGTGCGAGGAACATCGAAGCTGCCCGACGCATTTGTGGCCGTTTCAAACAATTCTGGGCGCACTCTACCCGTGAGTTTACGGTTCCTGCGTTCCGTGCCATGGTGATCGGCGCTACTACTTCCGATGCTGTCGCGCATGTCCCTTCTCGAAATGGCCTTCGCTTGATCGATGACGCCTGGAGCGACGTGGGTCGTCGTGCCTTGATGGCGCGTCTCCAGAAATGCTCTCACGGCCACACCGTAGCGCCCTCCACCACGGACGTTCGCTGGGCCCTCAGGTTCTCCGAGGCCGACGGATTGAGCGCATTACGGTGGTACCAGGCCATGTGCTCCACCCCTGGCAGGTTGGTACAGTGGACCTGGACAATACCCGGGGAGATTGGCGGCTTTGACCAACCGATGCCTGACCTCGAACCTCCACCTCGGTGCTACACATCGGGGGCGGCCAAGAGGGGGGAGTCGAAGAGGGGGGGATGCAAATCATGGCTGGCGGCATGTGCGCGGCCCAGGGGGGGGGGGGCCCAGGAGCGTCATGAAATAAAAGAGGCGCCATGAAAACAGGGGAGGTATCATGGCCCCCGCCATGATATCCCCCCCCCCTAGTCATCCCCCCCCTCTTGGCCGCCCCCGAACACACTCGATGTCCGAACCCGCCGCCGCGGCCGGGGTCAAACTGAAGGGGAACTGGGACACACAAATGAATACACACAAACAAAAAGGTTCCCCATATTTTCCCATATTTTCTGGGTTTGTGTCTTCCCCCCCCCTTCCCATATTTTCCCATATTTTCAGGGGAATCGAAGATTAATTGTGTCTGTGTGCTTCTTTCCCTCCTGACAAACGAACGAACGAACGACGCGCGAGTTGTCCCCGCAGACGGGACGCGGCGCGGCCTGCGCGGGGCGGCGGCCGTGGCCGCTCTCACCTGCTCGGCCTCCAGAGCTCCTCCTGCGGCCGGGGTCAGGGCTTACAGTCGGGGCGTTGACCTAAGGGACCCTAAATAAGGAACGAGGCCCCTTTTTTCCATAAGTCAACCTTCGATTTCCTGTCGAAAACCTGAGGAACGTTGACCTAAGGAACCCTGCATAAGGAACGAGGCCCCTCTTTTCCATAAGTGAACCTTCGATTTCTGGTCGAAGACCTGAGGAAAGCCTTAGGCAAGCTGCGAAACACTTAAGGAACGCGGAGCCCCTCCCCACCGAAAAGGGTTCCTTCTTCAAGACCCCTACTGTAGGTCGGGCGTGTCCCCCTACAGGGGGGATTCTGGACGAAAAAACACACACAAAAATACCCCAAGAGTGTTCCAACATGGTCCAAACCTCGTCCCCAGACTATCTTTTGACTCTACTTCCGAATGCACCTCCTGTGGAGGGGACACGCCCGACTCAAGCCAGGGCCCCAGCAGGAGGGCGCCTCCGGACAGGCAGGACGCCCGCGCGCCCGAGAGAGAGAGAGAGAGAGCGAGAGCGAGAGAGCCCCGCTGCGGCCGTGGGCCGAGGAGCGCCCGCCACGTCCTCCGTGCCCTGCGCCGGCAGGGGCGCCCCTGCTCTACATTCGGGTCGGGCGAAAGGGGGGAATGAGAAGGGAGGAGGACGAGGGAGGAGGGCGAGGGAGGAGGGGGAGGGAGGAGGGAGGAGGGAGGAGGGAGGAGGAGGGAGGAGGAGGGGGAGGAGGAGGACGAGGGAGGAGGGCGGGAGGGAGGAGAAGGGCGAGGGAGGAGGGGGAGGAAGATAGGAGGAGGAGGAGGAGGAGGAGGAGGAGGAGGAGGAGGAGGCGACCCCTTTCGGGTCGGGCGAAAGGGAGGGGATAGCAAAGGGGGGGGGGGAAATCAGCTCACGCAGCTGATTTTCCCGGCGCCTCCCGGCGCCGGACGGCGGCTATGTATCGAGGAAGGGGCCACTCGGTGAGGCCGAAACCAGCTGCACGCAGCAAATTCCGTAACCCCCCACCTTCCCAATCCCCCCCTTTCGCCCGGCCCGATACATGAAGGCATGGCTCACGGGGGTCGCCAAGTCCATGGATCGGGGAAGGTGCAATCCGTGGATCCTGGATCCTGGATCGCCAAGTCCTGGATCGCCAAATCCTGGATCCTGGATCGCCAAATCCAATCCTCTATCGGGGAGACGTAAGACTCGGGTACGGGGGACTCGGGTTGGCCCGACGGGGCCATCATAAAAATGACGAGGCCCAATCTCAAATTTGGCGCGAGCTCCCGCTGCAGACATCCCACGAAAACTGGAGCGTCAAAATCCAGGACGCGCTCGTCAAAAAAACGTCGGTAAACCCGAGTTCCGGCTTACTCGGGTCTTGCGTTTCCCCGATGCATGAAGGCATGGCTCACGGGGGTCGCCAAATCCATGGATCGGGGGAGGTGCCCTCCCCACAATGCGGCCACGCCCCCTTGATCCATGTTTGCGATCGCCTGCTCTACATGAAGGCATGGTGCACGGGGGTGAACGGCTTCCCCCAGGGCCGTAGGCGGCCGGAGGAGGGGAGGGCGAGGAGGAGCAGGAGGAGGAGGAGGAGGAGGAGGAGGAGGAGGAGGAGGAGGAGGAGGAGGAGGAGGAGGAGGGGGAGGGGGAGGGGGAGGAGGAGGGGGAGGAGGATAAGGCAAGCTAGGTGCGCTCGCGTCATATCTGACGTCCTACCCCTCCCTCCCATCCCTTACCATGGCGCTGATTTTCTCTATCCGCGGACGCGTGTCGTAGCGGACCTGTGGCTCCGCGCGCGCGTGCGTAGTGGGTGGTGGTGCGTGCGTGCGCGTGCGTGCGTGCGTGCGTGCGTGCGTGCGTGTGTGCGTGGTGGTGGTGGTGGTGTGGTGGTGTGTGGTGGTGGTGGTGGTGGTGGTGGCGGTGGTGGTGGTGGTGGTGGTGGTGGTGGTGGTGGTGCGGCGCGGTGGTGGCGGGCGGATGGGCGCGCGAGAAAGAGGCCCGCGCTGGGGCGAGAACGCCATCCTGAACGACGGAGGCCAAACACCGATCCGAAAATGAGGCCCACGCTGCAGCGGGAGCACGATTCGGAACGATTCGGGAGCAGAAATGAGGCCGGCGCCTCAGCGAGAGCAGCATTTTGAAAAAAAAACGCAGGCGAAAACCCAACTGCCGGGAATCCTGTGTAAAAAATCGTACGCGGGGGGGGTTGGCCACTCCCAGCACGCCATCAGGGGAAGAGGGAGAGTAGTATTCACATTGAGTAATTGTAGAGAGGAGGATGAGGACGGGTCGCCTAAGCCCTTCCGAGAAACCCTCCACACGGGGGAGCCCCAGACACCCGACGCCACTTGGGGACAGACAATGCGGTGACCTCGGAACTCCAAGACACCTCACCGCGCGGTCTGTCACCGCACGGTCTTGGGACCCTGGAGGCCCCTGTCGCCCAAGACATCCTCGGAGAGGGACTCGAGTCCCAAAACCGTGCGGTGACCCCGAATCCCCACCGACTCACCCCACGGTGTGGTCACCACCCTGTTTGGGGGCCCCTCGTCAAGATTGGTTCACAACGTGGCTCCCCGGAGGTCCTGACCCCACCCTGAGGGCCAGGCTCCTCATCCCGCGTCGTCTCTCGACGGTCCCTGGGGCCCCGAGGGGCCTCCCAGAGGTCAAGACCCTCCTTCACGGCGCGAGGATGTCTGTGGTGGTGGTGGCCTGCCCCTCCTTCCTGCAATGAGAGAGGGAGCCTTCTGGCCGCCGCTTGCACCACGGCCGAAGCTGATCGTGGTGTTGTCAGCGATGCCCTCGGCCATGTCCTGCGGAGAGGCCCGGGACGGCGCCGGCAACGACGTCGCCAGCGGCGGCGGCGACGACGACGGTGTCGCTCTGGTGGTCGTCGGCGCCGTCGGCGATCGAAGCGTCGTCCTCATCGCCGCTGTCGTCGCCGCTGTCATCGCCACTGTCGCCGCCGCCGCCGACGTCTTCGCCCTCGTCGGCGCCCTCGTCGTTGTCGTCTCCCTCCTTCGGGAAAAGGGGGGTTGGAGAGGGGGGGGGATGGGGGCATGGGGGGGGGATCTAGGAATGATCACGGGGGAGTGGGAGAAAGAGAAAGAGCGGCGGAGGACAGAAGGGGGAGGTAGGAGGACAGAAGAGTGGAGTGGGCGGTGAGGTAGGAGGGGGGAGGGAGAGAGGAGAGAGGAGAAGGGGAAATCAGCCAGAGCAGCTGGAAGTAGAGGAGAGGGGGGAGGAATAGTTCTCTCGACGGCGAGCCCAGGGGGAAGTCGGCGGGGCCGGACCTTCTCAGGAGGGCCTCGAGCCTTCCGAGAAGTTTCCCGGGCCTGCTCCGATGACAGCGACAGCTTCTCAGAAGGCCGAAGGGCTTCTGGAAAGACCCGCCGCCTTCTGAGAAGGCCTGCCCCCTCTCACTTCCCCCCCCAGGCGCGCCGCCGATTCCTGTGATCCTCTTGTAGACGTAGACGCCGACGGGGGGGAGGAGTGGAGGAGGGACGGCGGAAATGGAGGAAATACTGACGGAGAGAAAAGGGACCGATGCGTGAGGACGCCGAGCAAGAATGTATGAGAGCGGAAGTGGGAGTTCGAAAGGGGGAATGGTGAAGGGAGGAGGGGAAGAGCGGGGGAAGAAATCTGCTGTTGCGAGGGAGCGTGGCAAAACAAGAAGACAACAAGGCCGACGAAGGAGGAGCAGCGAGGACGATCGAGAAGGGCCCGTGACCTGTTCCATGACAAGGCCCCCCCAGAATCAAGAACCGTCCACGGGAGGAGGAGGAGGAGGAGGAGGAGGAGGAGGAAGATCGCCTACTCATCCCGAATCGGTGTTTGGTCGTCCTGATGTAAGGCATCGGCCCGGCGGAGGCTGGAAATGGCCAACTTGGTGCTCCTTCGTGCGACCCACCCGAGGACGTGAGGCGGGATCACCCCAGGGAGCACACCAGGCCGCTTGCGGCCCAGCGGCCGCGGCATGCGGTCGTCGTTCGTCGCAGTACCATAAGGTCGGGCGTGTCCCCCTTTAGGCGGGTTTTGAAGGAACAACTAGAACTACCATGCAAATGATCCCAACTTTAAAAAATCGTCCACACGTGCGATTTGTGACTAGGTTTGAAAGTTCCTCCTGTGGAGGGACAGGCCGACTTGCAAGTCACAGGGCGGGATCATCACTGGGACTCTGGGGCCCTCGGGGCCTGGCGGCCGCGGCACGCAGGGTGTGCGAGGCGCTGCGGGGGCTCATCTCATGGACGGGAAGACATCTCGCGCCGCTGCGGATGCCCCTCTTGGGGGGGGAGGGGGGGGGGGTATGCTGCGAGGGTCCCCTGCAGTCGACGACGACGCCGACGTAGACTCGACAGCGACGACGACGACGACGACGACGTGTCCGGACCGCCCGCTCAACCGACCGCCGCCGCCGCCGCCGACGACGACCTGTTCCACCGGGCCTAAGCCCAGCGCCGGCCAACGACGAGGAAGACGACGACGTGTCCCACCCGCCCGCCCGACTGCCCACGACGACGACAACGACGACGACGCGTCCCGCCTGCCCGCCAAGCCGACATACTCGCTTGCGAAAGGCAGCGCATGACGTGTCCCGCCCGCCCGCCCGACCGACTTGCCGACGACGTAGACATCCTGTCCCCCCCGCCCCCCCCGCCCGACCGACGCCCGGCGCAGGCAAACGACGACGACTATGACGAGGGCGACGACAAGGATGAGAACGACCAAGACGAGGACGACTTGTCCCACCCGCCCGCCCGACTGCCCACGACGACTCTGTGTCCCGCCCGCCCGCCCGGCCGACTCGCTGGCGACAACAACCACGACCACGACGACGACGACGACATGTGCGGAAACAGGGGGCTGACCCCCCCACCTCACTTTTGCACGGGCGGGGGGAAGAGGTCGTGGGGAAATTCTTGCGCCGGGGAGGGGGCCAGAGGAGGTCCAGAAAACTAGAATTTTCGAGGGGGGCGGGGGGAGGCGGCTTCAGGGCGGTGGAGGTTGAGATTCTGCCCCAGTGAAGCGTACACAAAAGGTGCCTTTTCAAAGCTGACAACCCGAATTTGTCGGGTGGGGGAAAACATTCGCCCATTTCTTCCGACGGCGCTATCTCCAGTTCGAAGGTCGATGAAGGGGGCCAGGCATAAAGGGGCGTGGTGCCAATCGTAGAAATGACGACGCGGTCGACCATCGATAACATCGCCAAATTCAGCATTGGCACCACACCCCATCTACACCACTCCGCTTTCCCACCCCCCGAGATTCAGGCGGATCTCGGGAGGTTTGTGGCATCCACGGGACGCCGCTGCGCGTGGCGTGGCCGCTGGGGAACACCCCGAACCGAGAAGGCCGCGCGGAGGCGACGAAGACGTCCGGACACCTCATGGACGAAGCCTTCACAGCGCGAGGATGCCGGGGGAATGGGAGGACGAAAGAGAAGGGGCGTCCCCCCCCCCCCTCACGGTGGATGGGGCGGAGAGGAAGGAGGGGAAGGAGGAACAAAAATGGGGCGGAGGAAAAGAGGTGGAGAGATCACTGCTCCCTATTAATATATACACCATCCCCCAGGCGACCGATGGCCAACAGGAAACCATGCTCAGCCCCCCACCAACCTTGTCAAAAAGCTATGCAAACGCACTCTGCCTCCACATTTGGGGCGTGCGCGGTCAAACCGATGCGGCCACCCCGCCATGCTTGTCAAACACATAACAAATTCACGTTGAGGCAAACTCTGGTCTCATGTCCGTGAGGCCCGCGAGCATCTTGTGTTGTTTTTGACAAGGACGGCGGGGGTGTCAACACATTGCCTGCCGTGCGCAGCGCTACCATATCTAACAAACAACAATACACCATGCACCTCGCGGCTAATTCTGGATCATACGCGGCCAGCCCGCGATCATTGTCAAATGGTTTTTTCAGGGACGGCGGGATGGTGGCGTATGGCCTGATGTGCGCAGGCCCACCCGTCACAATGATGGGCATTGGCTTTCGACAAGGATGGTGGGGGCCGACATGTTTCCCGATGTGTGCTGCCACGTGCGCAGGAGCACCTGACACACTCTGCAAATGCCCCGAACGTGGCGCACCTGGCACGGCTGGAATATGCGGCACACCTGGCGCACGCGGAGCACGTGGCGCATTTGGCGCACCAGCCGTGCCTAGCACGCTGGGGCCCCAGGGGTGTCTGGCGCGTGGCGCGCTTGGCACGCGTTTGGCACCTCGCCCCAGCGTCGCGCACATGAGGTCGGATTTGGTTCCCAGTAGCTGTCCATCCAATGACGGCCAGTGAACATGTTCTGGCTGGGGTGCTGCTCATGTGTTGGGAAGGCGGGTGGGAGTGAGCTTGACAGCTTGCTATCCAAGAGGTGTGTTGACCATTGTCCATATTGCACCCCGTCCCCTTGATCTGAAGGGGGGGGCTTTCCGTGTCGCTAGGGAGCCTCAGAGAGCCTAAGATAACCTTCAAGGTGGTCCAAGATAGCCCTATATGGCTCAAGACGGGCTCCAAGATACTCCAAGAGGCCCCAAGACCGCTCCAAGACGGCTCCGAGTGGCCACGAACCTTATCGCCGTTTTGCTTCCGATGGCCTTCCGAGGCCTCAAGATGGCTCCAAGATGGTCCATGCGGGCACTAAGAGAGGCCCAAGGGAGCCCCAAGAGCACCCGAGAACGCTACAAGAGCGCCCCAAGAGGCGATTCCCGAGGCGCCTGAAGGGGCGGGGTCGTAACAGGAGCCCCCATCCAAGATGGCCCCAACAGCGCCCTCAAAAGCTCCCAGGATGACACCAAAAGCGCTCTCAAGGCTCCCAAGAACGCCACATGCAGGCCCCAACAGGCGCCCACAAGGCCCCAAGAGGCGGCCAAGAGGCCCCCAAGAGGCTCCCAAGAGACCCCCAAGTGGCCCCAAGACGCTCAAAGGCGCCCAGGACCCCCAAGAGGCCCTCAAGATGCTCCAAGAGGCCTCCCATGGGGTGCCTTTCCTTTGTGTGTTGCCCACTTCCCTGATCCAGGCAACGCCTCTGGGCATCGTTTCTGGGTGGGTTGGTGGGCTTGCGCGAAGCGCCTACGAGTTTCGGAATGCGGGCACGTCACGCACAGATGCCAGTGTGCCGTGCACCTGAGGGGAAACCTGGAGCACCCTGAACGCAGCGGCTTCTTCATCGGCCGTGGGAAGTCACCGCGCAGCGCGCGGTGCGAAAAAACTCAGGGTAGCCTGACGAGAAACGTCTGGTTTCTTGATGTGCGTCCCCACTGTATCGGCGGTGATCAGGGGGGGACGTGAGAAGGAGAAGACCTTCTCAAAGGCGGCGGGACTTTTCATGAGCCCTCGCGCCTGGTGAGAAGTTTCCTCTGTTCTCGGGGACGGTTTAGAAATCTTCTCTGAAAGCAAGGGGACCTCCGAGCCTTCTGAGAAGGCCCGTCCCTTATCCCGGGGGAGCGCAAACATGGAACGGCGATCCATGGACTTGGCGCGCGGTCGCCAAATCCGTGGATCGGGGGATGTGCCCTCTCCAAAATGCGGCCGGTGCCGCCTCGTCCGGCGGCGGAAGTCCGCGATCTCCCATGGAAACGGGACCCGTCACACCCCCTTGATCCCTCCTCCTCCTCCTCCCTCCCTCCCTCCCTCCCTCCCTCCCTCCCTCCTCCCTCCTCCCTCCTCACTCCTCCCTCCTCCCTACACCTCCACCTCCTCCTCCCTCCCTCCTCCACACCTCCACCTCCTCCTCCCTCCCTCCTCCCTCCCTTCCTACCCCTCCCCCTCCCCTCTCCCCCTCCCCCTCCCCCTCCCCTCCCCTCTCCCCTCCTCCTCCTCCTCCTTCCTCCTCCTCCTCCTCCTCCTCCTCCTCCTCCTCCTCCTCCTCCTCCCTCCCCCTCCTCCTCCTCCTCCTCCTCTCCTCCTCCTCCCCTCTCCCTCCTCCCTTCCTCCCTCCTCCCTCCTCCCTCCTCCCTTCCTCCCTCCTCCCTCCTCCCTCCTCCCTCCTCCCCCTCCTCTCTCCTCTCTCCTCTCTCCTCTCTCCTCTCTCCTCTCTCCTCCTCCTCCTCCCTCCTCCGCCTCCTCCTCCTCCTCCTCCTCCTCCTCCTCCTCCTCCTCCTCCTGATCCCCTCCTCCTCCTCCTTCCTCCCTTCCCTCCCATCCTACCTTCCCTCCCTCCCTCCCTCCTCCTTCCCTCCTCCCTCCCTCCTCCTCCCCTCCTCCCGGCCTCCCTCCTCCCTCCTCCCCTCCTCCCTCCTCCCTCCTCCCCCCCTCCCCCTCCGCCTCCTCCTACGCCTCCTCCTCCTCCTCCTACTCCTCCTCCTCCTCCTCCTCCGCCTCCTCCCTCCTCCCTCCTCCCTCCTCCCCTCCTCCTCCTCCCTCCTCCCTGCCTCCCTCCTCCCTCCTCCTCCTCCCTCCTCCCTCCTCACTCTCCTCCTCCTTCCTCCCTCTCTCTCTCCCTCTCTCCTCCTCTCTCCTCTCTCCTCTCCTCCTCCTCTCTCCTCCTCCTCTCCTCCCCTCCGCTATCCTCCTCCTCCTCCTCCTCCCTCCCTCCGCTCCTCCCTCCCTCCTCCCCCTCCCTCCCTCCCTCCCCTCCGCATCCCTCCTCCCTCCCTCCCTCCCATCCCTCCCTCCCTCCCTCCCTCCCTCCCTCCTCCCTCCTCCTCCCTCCCTCCTCCTCCTCCCCTCCTCCCTCCTCCCGCCTCCCGCTCCTCCCTCCTCCCCCTCCTCCTCCTCCTCCTACTCCTCCTCCTCCTCCTCCTCCTCCTCCTCCTCCTCCTCCTTGCGATCGCCTGATTCTTGGAAGGCCTGCCCCGTATCGCTCCCCCCCTCGCCCGCCCTCTAGCAGGAGTCCTGGGAGGGCCGTGTCCACCCTCTGCGAACGGGGCAAGGTCCTGCCCCGCTCGCGACCCCGCGGGTTGCCCGGCTTGCGCGGTGGCGAGCTGTCGTCGTCAAGCGCGCCTCACTTCGCGTCTCGCGCGCGCGCGGAGGACTCCGCGCCCTCGCGCCGCCCCCCAGGGGGAAAGGGGAGGACGAGGAAGAATCGGCGCCGAAGCGCGAATGCCTTGGGCGCCCTCGGCGAAGGGGGGGATCAGCTCAGGCGGGGGCAGCATGGGGCCTGCATCGGCGATGCCTCGCCGACAGCTGGGCGAGAGGCCGCCGGCGACGCCGCACGCTCCCCCGAGGGGGTGAGCCAGCAGGCTCGAGGCGGCAATGAAGGGGCGGCCGGGGGTCGATGCGTCCCCCCCCCCCCCCCGAGCGTCGGATGCCTGGCCTTGAGCCTGGAGCCTCGTCCTCCTCCTCCTCCTCCTCCTCCTCCTCCTCCTCCGCCTCCTCCTCCTCCTCCTCCTCCTCCTCCTCCTCCTCCTCCTCCTCCTCCCCCTCCTCCTCCTCCTCCTCCTCCTCCTCCTCCCCCTCCACCTCCTCCTCCTACCTTACCCCTGCCTCGCAGCCTGCTGCCCTCGCCCCCGGCCTCTCACGCGGGGCGCCGCTGCCTCGTCGCGCCGCGTGCCCTGTTCCTGGGGATCGTGGACACCTCCGTCGAAGACTCCCAAAGCGGCACAGGGTGAACTGTCAGAGGTCCGCGCGGCTTTCTTGGATCGGCGCACGGCCCCGAACTCAGCAGGGGGGAAACAGGACCCGAGGGAAACAAGCCCTGGTCAACGAGGCCTTCCCCCAGGACGAGATCTTCCTCCTGAGTCGGTTTCTGACAGTCCCAGGGCCGGTGGATGGCCCCGTGAGCCCGAAGACGGCGAATAACCTTAAGACCCTTATTTCTCAGGACCCACTTCCTCCATGGCGACTAACGCGGACCTTGAAATGTGGTCAACGTCATCGTCGCCGTCGTCGTCGCTGGCCAACGAAGCGCCTGTATCACCTTCATGCCGCGCGCGTCCGAAGCGTTGTACTCGAGCACCTCGTACTTTCCCTCGGACGGTGGGGGGAAGGTAAAGAAGGGTGGAGCAAATATCAAGGGGAAGATCGGGGAGACGTAAGACTCGGGTTCGGGGACTTGGGTTGGCCTGACGGGGCCGGCAAACCGACGAGACCCAATCTGAAATTTGACGCGAACTCCCGCTGAAGACCTCTCATGAAATCGAACCGTCAGAATTTACGATGGACCCGTCAAAAAGTGTTAGAAAACTTGAGATCTGAGGGGTTCCCCCCGAAAGCAAGGAGAGGAGGAAAAAACAAGAGAGAGAGAGAGAGCGAGAGAGAGAGAGAGAGCGAGCTAGGTGACCGTACTTTGCGCCCCTGCGCCCCACGATGCGCGATTGTCTTCGCGCCCTCGAAGGCCCCTTTGTCTTTGGAGCCGCCGCGACGCGCGGCGCGCGATTACACTTACGGAGCTGGCGAGTGTCCGATAGAAAACGGGCCGGGAGGATGTTCGGAGGGGTGTCGGAGCGACGGTCCTGGGGTGCCTTCACCCCGTTGGGCACTACCCTGGATGCCAGCATCTTGGTCACCACCCTGAATACCACGGTGGTCGCAGGCACCCATCGTGGTTAACGGTGCGGGGGAGGGAAGAAGAGGAGGAATAGAGTGAGGCTGTAGCGTATGGAGAAGGGAGGGAGGAGGCGGACGAGGAGGAGGAAGAGGACCTCTTGGCGGTCCTCGGACGGCAGAGAGGAGTAGAAGACGGGAGGAGAAGAATGGGGGATGGGGGGCCTACGTCCTTCTGGGCGGGGTATTGGGTAGCTCTGCGCCAATTATTCGCCGGCCCAACGGGCCAGATGCGTGCTAAGATCTCCGGTAACTGCTAAATAATACTTCTACTTCGCGCGCGCGGGGCGGCCCCTGGGGGTCCCCGGACGGAAAGTACCCCGGGCGATCCCCGGCAGGGTCGGATCAGAGATGGTTTTCCTCCTGGGCGCCGCCCCCGTGGCCCTCTAGAGAGCCCCAAGAAGGGCCACGAGGCCGCCAAGAGCCCTCCAAAATGGTTCAAGAGTGCTCCGAGATGCCACACGATCGTTCCAAGACGCCCAAGATGGCCCCCAGACGCCCCAAGAGGCCTCCAAGAGCACTCCCCAGAGGACCCCAAGAGGCAAAAATCATTACTTTTCTTTAGGTTTTGGGCAGACTTTGGCGTGTCCATCTTTTCGGCTTCCCGACGCCCCAAGACGGCCCAAAAGGCCCCCAAGATCGCCCCAAGAGGGCCCAAGAAGCTCCCAAGAAGGCCCCAAGATGGCCCAAGAGGGCTCCAAGACGGCCCCAGAGGCATCCAAGACGGCCCAAGAGGGCCCCAAGCGATGCCCCAAAGGGGGAACACAAAACAAAACTTCGAGCCCTCGGCCACAAGAAGCCCCCAGGAGGCCTCAAGAGGCCCCTGAGAGGCCCCAAAAGCCCCCAAGAGGCCCTCAGGAGGCCCCCAAGCGACGCTGAAGAGGCCCCCCAGCGGCCCCAAGAGGCTCAGTCATGCGAAATGGGCCGGCGGAGTGAGCGAAGCGATTCCATAAGAAGTCTGAATGAGGGGGCCGAACGGTCATTCATTGTCCCTGGGTGCGTGGTTGAAGTGGGGACCCGTGTTGAAGATTACGCTTGTTGCGTTGTTGGCGCACAGTGGCGCGCCGACGAGCAACGATCCCTGAGGATCCCCCGAAGGATGTTCGCAGATTCTGAATGTGATGGGGGACCTGAGCAGGCGCCCCAGGGCCGGGTGAGGCGCGGGCGCACGGGGGCGCGCAGGCGCCAAGCAAATCACTCGGACCCTTGTGGGAGCCTTAGGATTCCTCAGGGGACGTCAGGGTTCGGCAGGTGCCTTCAGGATCCGTCCGGGGTCCTCAGGAGTCCTCAGGGCTCACCAGGATTTCTCAGGAGCCTCCAGAAGTCAGCTGGTGTCTTCAGGATCCCTTAAAGGCCTTCAAGAAACTTCAGGAGCCCGCAAGGTGTCTTCTGGAACCCTCAGTAGCAGAAGTAGTAGTAGTAGTAGTAGTAGTAGTAGTCGTAGTAGTAGTAGTAGCAGTAGTAGTAGTAGTAGTAGTAGTCGTAGTAGTAGTAGTAGTAGTAGGAGTAGGAGTAGGTAGTAGTAGTAGTAGTAGTAGTAGTAGTAGTAGTAGTAGTAGTAGTAGTAGTAGTAGTAGTAGTTAGTAGTAGTAGTAGTAGAGTAGTAGTAGTAGTAGTAGTAGTAGTAGTAGTAGTAGTAGTAGTAGTAGTAGTAGTAGTAGTAGTAGTAGTAGTAGTCGTCGTAGTCGTAGTAGTAGTAGTAGTAGTAGCAGTAGTAGTAGTAGCAGTAGTAGTAGTAATAGTAGTAGTAGTAGTCGTAGTCGTCGCACTAGTAGTAGTAGTAGTAGTAGTAGTAATAGTAGTCGTAGTAGTAGTAGCAGCAGTAGCAGTAGCAGTAGTAGTAGTAGTAGTAGTAGTAGTAGTAGCAGTAGCAGTTGCAGTAGCAGTAGCAATGGTAGTAGTAGTACTAGTCGTACTAGTAGTAGTAGTACTAGTAGGAGTAGCAGCAGTAGTAGTAGTAGTCATAGTAGTAGTAAAAATAATGATCGTAGTAGTAGTACTAGTCGTAGTCGTCGTAATCGTCGTAATCGTCGTCGTAGTAGTAGTCGTAGTCGCAGTAGTAGTAGTAGTAGTAGTAGTGGTAGTAGTAGTAATGGTAGTAGTCGTGGTCGTAGTAATAATAGAAAAAAGTCGTAGTAGTAATAATAATCGTAGTAGCAGTAGCAGTAATAGTACTAGAAGTAATAGTCGTAGTAGAAATACGAGTAATAATAATAAAGTAGTTATAGTAGTAATAGTAACAATAAACGGAGCACAAATTAGTCGCAGTCGTAATACTGGTAGCCGTACTACTAGTAGTAGAATAACAATAGTCGTGATAGCAGTAGTCGTAATAGTAGTAGCCGTCGTCGCAATAGTAGCAACAGTCATAGTATTAGTAATAGTTGTTGTACCAATTCTTAGTGGCCGTAATATTACTATTCATCGTGGTAGGGGTGGTCGTAGCCGTAAGAGTGATAGTAGTAGTACTAGTGGTCGTAGTAGTGGTAGTACGAGTAGTAGTCGTGGTAATAGTAGCAGTAGTAGTAGTGGCATTAGTCGTATTATCATTCATAATAAAAGTAGTAAGAGGTAGTACGTAGTTCGTAGTTCGTAGTGGTAGCAGCGTTAGTCGTCGTAGAAAATTCCATACGGATAGTCGTAGCAATAGTAGAAATAGTCGTACGCACGTATTAAGAATAAAATGCAGTAGTCTTAACAAACCTAAGACCAGTCGGAGTCCTAGTAGTAATCGTGGTAATAGAAAATAGTAAACGTAGGGGTGGGAATGCGATTTGTTGTAGTAACGGACGGAGTCGTAGAAATCTGAATATTGGCAGTAGCAGTAGACGTGCCGCACGAAGTAGTAGTAGTAGTAGTAGTAGTAGTAGTAGTAGTAGTAGTAGTACTAGTACTAGTACTAGTACTAGTACTACTACTACTACTACTGCTACTACAAGCAGTAGTCGCAGTAGTCGTAGGTCCTAGAAGTACTAGCCCTTGTAGTACTAGTCGTAGTCGTATTCATAAAACTGTAATAATGGGTAGTAGCAGTCGTAGTAGTAGCAATAACATTCGTGGTAATAGTAGTAGTAGTCGCCGTGGTAGTAGTAGTAGTAGTAGCAGTAATAGAAGTTGTAGTAGCAGTGGCAGTAGTAGTCGTAGTATTGATTAGTGGTAGTAGGAGTACTAGAATTGTAGTAGCAGTAGTAGTCGTAGTATTGATGAGTAGTAGTAGAAGTTGTAGTAGCAGTGGTAGTAGTA